TCTCTCTCCCCCTTCTCCATCTCTCTCCCCCTTCTCCATCTCTCTCTCCCCCCTCTCCACCTCTCTCTCCCCCCTCTCCATCTCTCACTCTCCCCTCTCCATCTCTCTCTCCCCCCTCTCCATCTCTCTCTCCCCTCCTCCCCTCTCCATCCGTGTGTGTCTCTCTCTCGTTTCCTTTTATCTCCCTCGCTCTTCTCCCCCAGCTCTCCTCTGCTCTTCCTGCATCATTTTGCTTTCTCTCCTCCTCTGAAAAGCTTAGTATTTTTTTCTGCCTCTCCTCCTCCCCCCTTTTAAAACAGCAAAAAGCAATTTCTCTCCTTTTGTCAGGCCGTTTGGCGGTAAGCCCTAAAGTAGGGATTTTCTGGTTTGGCTGGAATGCCATTAGGGCGGCTGGTGAGGTGCCGTGACTGACGTGCCGAATCTTTTTGATGTCGTGATGTCACAATCCAGCGGGAGGCGGCGGTTATGATATTGTTGGCGTCCCCGGAATGAGGGGCTTTAGTGGTCATGTCAGGAGTAAGTCTTCATAAATCCTTTATGGCACAGAAATATTAAGCTCCTTTGGCGGTACATGGACAGTGAGGAGAACATGGTGGAACGTGCACACGCGTGTACTGAGAGAGGAAGATGCACAAAGCCACTGGCGTGCGCTGATAGACGCTCACACTGTCTCCGCTCCGACTCACCGATAACGGCATCCGCGTGCTGCCTTTGGTTGATTAACACACATGACACGTGGTCCATGGAGTCGGCGCGTGTTGGTTTGGAACGGATTGGTTGTCATATGGAGCTTCGCTTGACTTTTCACCCATGTGTTCCCACACAGCACCCCCCAGGTTTACACGAACCCCCGAAGACCAGACAGGAGTCCAGGGGGGAGTGGCCTCCTTTGTGTGCCAGGCCACGGGGGACCCACAGCCCAAGATCGTCTGGAACAAGAAGGGCAAAAAAGTCAGCAACCAGAGATTTGAGGTACGGCCCTGAGACGCTGGTAACTGTGTGACCTCTGTATGATCTGTGCACACTTCTTCTCACAGCAAAGTGGCTCAGCATTGGACAGCAGAGCCAAGACTGTGTTCGCAAAAGGCCGAACAACTGCTGACGGCGGCGTCACTTTTTCTCACAGCGGACCGGACTTAAATTGGAGTTGGTTTGTGGAATAGTGACTATAATATGAAACGATTAAGAAACTGCCCTCATCAGTTTTCTTGTTGAAAGTGGAGGAGATCAGCAGATGAAGGTGGAGCCAGTTAGCTTATCGTAGCCTGCTGAAAGGGAACAGAGCCAGCATTTATATTTGTAGTTACACGTTTGCTTTTCCTCTGACGACTATCGCTCTGAAAACGGTGTATTGTTGCCACTGTGTTTATTGCAGTTAATGCAAGTCAATGATGCGTTTTCAGTGAGGTCAAAGCTAAACCGTTTACCTGCTTCTCTTCATTTGTACTCCAAAGGTTTTACAGCTGTGGGAAACAGCATCTGCTCTACGTCTCCGTGTCAGATGATGCCCCGGGCCTCAGATGCTCATATGATCAGCCTTATTAGTTTCCCCAAGGCAGTAACCTTCGATTTATTTCACCACCTCACGAGTCCCTCTGAGATGGAGCTGTTGAACCAGCCCCCCCACTTTCACACAGTGCTTTTCCACTTTAATAAGTCTATTTTCCTCCGAGGTTTGAGTTCATCTTGGCTCGTTCCTCTTTGTGATTAAATCACTCGGGGAGATATTTTATTTTTAATCCACCCTATATAAGCTCAGACTTATATTTATTCTTTTCTGACGTGTCATTCGAGAGTTGTGGGGGGATTTCTTTTTATTGGATTTTATTCAGTGGAAACCTTATCAGAATTTCAAATCCAGATGTCGTACATGCATGACTTCTTGATAAGCTTGATACAACTTGTGCAAGAGCAGTTACTGCTGGACGATCCAAACCTCTACATTCTTACACATCCTAGATGTCTAAAAACGGGCAATAAAGGACCATTTCATCTTCAATCATCCCATTTCAATTTGTTAGTCTGTCAAAAGTTAGTTTAATCATCAGTGGACTTTCTGCTGCCAGTTGGAATCTATTTGAATGTGCAGCGATGGACCCGACACTGTAGGTCCACATGTGATTTGTGCCTTTGGATCAAACATGATTTAGTGCTCTCACGCCTCCCTGGTTTTGTCCCTTCAGCTCACCCTTGTAAATAAAACGTCTGGGAAAACTGTCTTTCATTGAGCTGCAAACAATGTTGATGTGGTGTGCAGCTACTAGTGGTGTATTTGATTGATTGACAGCCACTTCAACGTCTCTCTCCTACACAACAGGTCATAGAGTTTGACGACGGGTCCGGCTCGGTCCTGAGGATCCAGCCGCTGAGGACCCCCAGGGACGAGGCCATTTACGAATGTCACGCCTCCAACTCTGCAGGAGAGCTCACTGCCTCCACCCGGCTCAGTGTGCTACGGGGTCAGTGTGCTGCCTTTTTTCCTGACACTAAGAACATGTGCTAATCATAATACCTGAACGTCCTACATCATCATGGCCCCATCACACACGCAACTTGGGTCAAGGCGAGAATCAAAAACATTCTATGGCCACTGGACGGGGTCATAAAGGCCACCATGTTTTTCACAAGTTAACTGAGCTGTAATTGTTGTTAAAGGACATTTTTCAACCCTCTCCTCGTGATATCAAGGGCAAAATTATATTTATTAGGGGCAATTTTTGCCTTTGCCCTGGTGTGTCTCCGACGCTGGGCCTAGCTACTAGCTTGGGTTAGCTTAGCTTCCAACTCGCCGTGTCCCTGCTGTCCTCCACGCGGACGTTTGGCAAAACTTTGGTGAAGCAGGTGTGGCTTTGTTTTTATATACCATTAAGGATCCAAACATGCACAAAATCCCAAAAACACGATGAGACGAGATCTGGAGCCAAATGCATCCATGGTAACATGCAGCTGAAGCAATGCAAGAACCGCGAGTATCGGCACAGAACACGGGCTGAACGTCTGTGTGATGTTTAGCCCGACCTGAGCCGCCGGTCCTGCAGCAGAGGCTGGTTGGGTGTTTGCTGGGATGCACTGCGGTAGATGCGCTTTCCGTTGGTCCATTAAGGCCGATGGCGACGTTAGTGTTAGTGGAGTCCATTAGGGGAACATTATGTACCGGTAGTTTTGCAGCTCAAGAGTGTCTCGGCGAGTGAGGCCGCTCAAGTGTGGATAATCACATCGCCTGCCGCTACGGAACGCGCTCGTGGGGGAAGGACGCGCGGCCTCTTGTTCTCGCGTCTCTGGCTCTGTCTTGTTCTTCTCTCGGAGGAGTAATAACACAGTCCTCTGTCCCGTCCGTCTCGTGTATTTCTGTCTTTCTACACTTTGTTCCCTCTCCTCTCGGTGTCTCAGGTCCACTACACATCGGCCTCTAAAATTATTCACAGGAATACCAGCTGGAGTGTGTGTGTGTGTGTGTGTGTGTGTGCTTGTGAATTTTTCCTGTCTCACACGGTTGTCTTTGTGCTCGTGTGCGCACGTGCGCATGCCTTTTTGAATTTTTATATTTTCCCTCCCTGCCTCCCTAGAAAGAACCATCCGCTCGCGTCTGATCTCTGTCTCTATCTGCAAGGCAGAAACGTGCAGACATAGTGTCCTGCATGTGAGACAAGCAGTCTTTATGTAGTGGTTTGTACTCCTCTGAGGAGTCATTGTGCCGGGGACGACTGAGAGGCCACCTGGGAGCCCCTAATAGCCCCTGATATGCTGTCAGTCCAAATGTCAGGTGGAAGGCACGCCCACACACACACAGGGAGTCTTGTCAGTCAGTCGCGTCCTCGTCTCCCCGGCTCTGAGAAGACACGGCTCCAGGGACTGCCTGTCAGACGGGAGGGATCCGGTCTTAAGGTCAGCAGGCTTAATTACTGAGGATTAGAAGCCGGCTAATTGAAATCTTGCCTTCCAGTAAACTGGCGTGATTGACAAGGGCTGAAATAATAATGAACCCGAGAGCAATTACTGCTGCTGGTCCCGTGTACAGTCCCACGCTCTATTATTCATGCTCTGGTCAAAGTGGTTAATGTGAGTTTGTGCGTCAGTGCAAAATGTTCTTACTTACTTCCATTGCTTAAGGGATAGCGTGCAGCGTTTAGGGGGACGTATTGGCAGATATGGGATATGATGTAAATCAGCATTTCATCATTTGAAGACCAGACGCGTTGTGTTGTCGATTATACATCTTCATTCGCCGCTGGTCGGCTGCCACGTTATTACAGAAACATGGATGGACAAACCAAACACTGGCGCTTTCACGTTGTCCAGTCGGCCATTTGAAATGTTTAAATAGTGATGACATCAGCAGCCACGGCGCCCAGAAACAAGAACGAGCTGTGGCCTCGCAAACCAGACCAGGCTGGGACACAAGAATGTGACAATTACGCATCACAGTAGGACAGCTGCGAGTGTTACTTTCCCAGCATCCATCACAGTCCCCCCCCCCCCCACCCCGTGTCATGAATGACAGAAACAGGTTGGCTTGCAGGTGCAGATGTTACACGCGGGCAGCAGCTGGCTCACGCTGTGGTTCCCACGCTGTGTACGGCCGGCCTGACCGGCGCTCTCCCACGCTCGACAAACGCAGTGAGCGATGCAGTTTTTGGGGTCCTGCGTAAAGAGGACGGCGTTCGCGCGGTTTCCCATCGTTGGGGGAAAGTGGGGTCGGGGGTCGGGGGGGGGGCAGGGGGTCGAAGCTGGGGCTTCATCTATGAGCTGTGAAATAATCTGGACCTGTCGCCGTAGTGTGGGAAACGGTGGGATTCCCCCCCCAACGAGGGGGGGGGGTGTAAGGTCACGTATCTCTTCTGCAGCTCACACACACACACATGCACACACTGAATCAGCTAACACACTTTGCTGTTACTTACACCTGTCACGATGGTTGTGTGCGTGTGTGTGTGTGGGGTGTGCGTGTGTGCGTGTGTGTGTGTGTGTGGGGGGTGTGTGTGTGTGTGTGCGTGTGTGTGTGTGTGTGTGTGGGGTGTGCGTGTGTGCGTGTGTGCGCGTGTGTGTGTGTGGGGTGTGCGTGTGTGCGTGTGTGTGTGTGTGTGTGGGGTGTGCGTGTGTGTGTGTGTGCGTGTGTGTGTGTGTGTGTGTGTGTGCGTGTGTGTGTGTGTGTGTGTGTGTGTGTGGGGTGTGCGTGTGTGTGTGTGTGTGTGTGTGTGTGTGTGTGTGTGTGTGTGTGTGTGTGGGGTGTGCGTGTGTGTGTGTGTGTGTGTGTGTGTGTGTGTGTGTGTGTGTGGGGTGTGCGTGTGTGTGTGTGTGTGTGTGTGTGTATCGGCTCATTCTATCGCTCCTCAAACGCCATTTCACACTCTGTCAGCCTTTAATAACCAACCAGATTTGTGACGCGCTGGAGTTTGTCGGTGGTGCACGAGCTCCTGGTTGCAGGGGGGCAAAGGGAGCAGCGGGGTCTCGGGTCTGAGCGCGTCCCCCCCACCCCCCCCCCCCCCCCCCCCCCCCCCCCCCCCTCCAGGTGGATGAAGCGGAATGCATTATATCTGTCTTTGAAGTTTGCATAATGAAAGCAGAGAGAATGGGGATGGCTCCCCCTGCGCTCTCTCTCCTCCCCCCTCTCTGTCAGCGCTCTCCCTCTCTTCCTTCCCGTCGCTCTTTTTTCTTTGGCGCTTTTCACCCTTTTCTCCACCCGTTCATGGAGAACAGAACACACACACACACACACTAAATCCCCTCTGATCTCGTCCTCCTGGTTTATTATGAGCGTGTTTCCATTCGTCGGCCGTTGCGATTGATTGAAAGCAGAGCTGTTAAAAGGCCACACGCAGGGCTCGAGTCTCACGGCCCGTTGGCTGCGGTTCGATGGGCCGGTACTGGAATTAGCGTCTCTTTGGTGAGGTGCCGCGCTTGGGTTTCCCATTAAATGAGGGAAGAGGTTACGGTGGATTCTGGGTAAAATAGACTGCGTTCTACTTCAAATACAGACACGCGCAGGGATGCCGAGCTCGTCCGCTGTGACTGTCTGTACCCACTTCATTATGAACGAGTGCTGGCATGCAGAGTTGTCATGAGACTGACCTGTTGGACGCGTGCACCGGGCCCGAGCCGCCCAATCAGACGCGTGGCTCTGAGCCGACTCCCTGCGGAACGGAGCGATTGACTTTCAATTGATTCTTCTCGGAGGAGGGTTCGCCTAAAGCTTTTTGTCAGGTGCAGTGAAATGTTGCTTATTCTATTTGACCTGGCTGTTGTATCCGCGTTCTGGCCTCCGGGCTCAAAGCCGATTCCAAAAACCCATTACGGCTCCAAACGGAATGGAAACTAAAAACCTCTTCACACTGGACTCAACCGACTCAATCCGCACGGCTTGAATTCAAATGAATTTTGGGACATTATTCACTTTGTTGCTTCAGTAGACCGATGCCACTCTGTTCGATACGCAAAGCTAGAACCAGTTAACAAATGTTTAGAATATTTCCTGCAAAGTTGTCACTGAAAACATGTATTATTGAGCGCTGAATTGTTTGACTGGTGTCGGTCTCCCCGTAGAGGACCAGCTGCCCCCGGGGTTTCCCACCATATACATGGGCCCCCAGCTGAAAGTGGTGGAGCGATCCCGGACCGCCACTATGCTCTGCGCTGCTAGCGGCAACCCTGACCCAGAAATTACCTGGTTCAAGGACTTCCTGCCGGTCAACACGTCCAATAACAACGGACGAATCAAGCAGCTCCGCTCAGGTAACCGACACTTCAATCCCCCCTCGACCCCCGGCTTTTATTCCCACCTTTGGGATTCTCTTTCCCTCCCAGTCTGCTTTTTATCCCTGTTTCAATATCTAATTCCCCTTTTTTATTTTCTGTTCCCACAAAGCGTGTTATTCTTGCCCCAGTTTCTGGCCGTGTGCTGTGCCGCTGTGCTATGACCTGACTGTGTGTGTGCTTTCCAACTCTCTAAAAACCTCTTCAAAGCCTCCGACGGTGAACTTTTCCAACGTTTCTCCGCTTCTCTGCAAACTCTCCGAGGTCTCCCCGTGCAAATCGCCATCACCAAAGGGGGCTCGATTCAAAGTTTTTGAAAAACATTTGTAAGAAAAACAAGTTTCTATTGGCACCGGTTTCCTCGAGTGAAGGAAATCACAAGTGAAACCCAGGTGATGGTGGCGTGCACCGAGGGAATGTCCTCTCAGGACGCCTCACTGCTGTGACTAAACGAACCAATAACCCTTTGCTGTTCCTCCTTTCATGGGAAGTGCGTCCTGCGTGATTGGGAAACCGACTCGCGGACTCTCATCCATGATTCCCGAGGAAGTGAACTGGTGTAAATGTGTCAAATTCAAAGGCAAACGACCTGGAAATGATTTGTCAATCCGCCTGTCGATAGCCACAGTAGTGTGTGAAATCCCACCTCTTGCTTCCAGGGACCACCTCTGGGCCCCAAACCCCCCTCCTGTGATTGGATACCCGACTCTGGCTTCTTTATGGATAACAACCTCTTTGCTTCTGTCCCATTTGTTTTACTTTAGTTCTACGGCTCAACCTTCAACGCCCTGCTTAGACTCCCGTTTTTACCTTTATTTCACAAAAATATATTTACTTTAAGTATTAACAACATTGTTGTTGCTTTAAATGTAAAATACAACCTGTATGTCAGCACAAAGTTCTGTTTAGATAGTTAGATCATATCCATGACTCCTTTCGGGAGTTTGAGTGCTTTTTCAAGGTGTTTCTGCTGAGTCAACTCGTCTGTGTAACCAATGGCCTGATTGTAATACCATGTCTATGCTGTTTCTTTTCTCTTTGTATCTTTTTAACCACAGAGTCCTTTGGTAAGTGCTTCTGTTCCGAGGTGCACACCCTCACTGTCCACTCTTCTGTATACTGTTCACTAAATGCTGCTACTGATCCTGCTGCTGCTCACTGTACAACGTTGAGCTATTAATAAGATGCATGCATGCATCTTACTAACAGCCACATGCAAAGAAAGAACGAGGCACAGACGCTCACACACACACTCATTTTGGTTCAATAAAATACACAAATATGTCAACATATTTCATATATTCATAGACACATAGTCATATAGTCTCAGGTGTCTCTGTCACCTTAGAGGTAGCTGGTCTCACCCTCACCTGTTTCCACCACCACCAGTGAAATACAAATAACCCTCTCCTCACACTCACCTGATTTGACTATTCTCCCCCTCACTCACTCACTCACTCACCCGCTCGCTCGCTCACTCTTTCACCCACTCACCCACTTACTCCCGCCCCTCCCCCCCGGCCCTGCTGCACAGTCACCAGTGAATAGGCTCTCGGCCCCAGAGAACCCCGAGGTAGCGATCAGGCCGCGGTGTAGAGGTGCATCGTTGATGACTTGATGAACCCGTCACTACAATAAGACAATAAGCGGTCCAACCCGCCTTCAGTGAGCTTTCACTGTTATGTGAATCACTCGGCTTCTGAAATGGGAGAATTTGCCTATTTTTTTATTACGGTTGTAAACTGAGCGTGTGGGACTCTTGGAGAGACTTTTAGTGTTTATAAAGTGGACAGAGCCTTTGTCTTTTTCTATGGAGAACAAAAGAGGCGAGAATACGGTACAACGAGTTGACCGAGCGTTTGCCGTGTCTAATCATCACGAGCTAAACGTATGCACATGAAGCCATGTTGCTGCGTTGTCCCGCTGTCAGACTCGCTTGGTAGCTGGAAGGAACGCCAGGCGGTAAAGAAACGATAAATCTCCCCCATTTTCCCTTTCGGACGTTCCGCACATTTCCACAGGTACCTGCTGGTGAGGTTAAGTCTCCGCCAGGTGACGTGCGCTTAGAGTCCCAGTCCACCTCTTAGTGCAGAGACCCCCTACAGCCAATCAATAACCCATCTCCTTATAGCTCCGTCACTGCGTCTTTCTACTTCCTGTCTCTCTCTTTTATGCCTCTCTCTCCCTCTCTCCCTCTCTCTCTCCTCTCACTCGCTCTCGAGGATCTATATTTTGGAGTCTTCCTCTCTAATTTGATTCTTCTCCTCTACCGAGTTACCACCCCATCCCAGCCCCTCCCCCCCCCTCCCCCCCCCCTCCCTCCCCCACTTCCTGCCCCGTTGGTACTAACACTTTCTTCTTCTTCTCCTTCTCTAATCTCGTGCATTCATTGCCCACTCAGGTGGCACGCCCATACGAGGTAAGACTGCCGGGAGGACCAACATGACACAGTGGGCTGATTCCTTTCCAACCCCCCTGGTTTCCTACTTGTCTCGCGGATCTGAGAAAAAAATACACGTTTAGTCCAAAAGACTTCCCCATTGGCGATACTCATCCAGCTGCTTCAGATCAGATCTGCAGTAGGTGCAAGAAGGGGGGAATTGGAAACTGAGCAAGCAATTCATGATGCTATGACCTTTTAATCACCTCCCCTCTCCTCATCCGTCACCCTCTCCTCATCCGTTCATTTGTCCGTCTGAGCCTCGCTCGGCCACACATGGCCCCATCGCTTCCTCTCTCGCCATGTTGTCGTCTCTCTTATCCAGTTTAACATCACCTCGCTTTTTTTTTATTCCACGTCTGCGTTGTTCTCAGCCTAAAGCATGACTTGTTTAGAGTGAATTATACCCTGGTCCCCTAGTTTGAGGTGGCAAAGCACACTGCGGCTTTATGCTTTTTATTTTTCCTTTTTCTTCCTTTCTTTCTTTTTGCTGGGAGGGTCGTATAACACGAGCTTAACCGGCCTCGTCCACATCGGCCCGATCCAACGTCCCACTTCTGTTTTCCCTCCCAGCTGCTAATTCGCTCGACCTGAAAAGCCCAGATGGCTCAGACGCACGTGCAGACATTAGTGTGCTCGCGCTGTAAACACACCGATGTGCAGCTGCACACACATATCTTCATGATTTTGAACCATTACTTTCTCTTTTCTCTCTCATTGCCGATAAAAAGCCCCAAACAACCACTTTTTTGATAAAGTTTTTACTGGGCGCTTTTTTGCCTCTTCTCACCATCTTTACAAGGACCCTCTGGTTGACTTTTTTGACAGTTTTTCTATTTTCAGGGAGGGAGAAAGCGTCGCCCCCCCCCCAAGGCTTTCCGTATGTCGTTCCTTTTTTTTTTTTTTTTTTAATCTGTGACCTTCTTTTGAGGCTGTTTAATGTCTGTACCTCCTTACTGGGTGTGTTTTTATAATGACATCACACTCCTGATCCCAGTGGTGGATCCGTAAGGGTTGATATCACGTCGCCATGGCGATACCTTTGTCACCTTATAACCTTGACAACTGAAGCATTATTAACTCCCTGATGTAACTGCATCTTCATTTTCAGCAAAGATTCTTTTTTTTTTAATACCGTTTTGGTGACTGGATCTCTTCACGTTTTGGCCGCTTGGTTGATTTGCTTTTTTTCTTTTACATTTTGTTTCTTTACCATCTTTAAAACAGGAAGCTGACCCCTTGTTTTGGGCAGATTCTTGCTGACAGTGGTGAACTATTGGTCTCCCTCTTTTTTTATCGCTTTTGTTCAGCTTGTTTTCGCTGAGAAACCTTCCTCTGATTCATTGACACTGTGTGCAGTTCTTACCATCTCTATGTCGGTGTATTTATGAACTATACCCAATTATCCCACGTCTTCCACCCTGTGCTAATTGCTTTTTCTTCCTGGCTATCCTTCTGTGCGTCTCTCTCTGTCTCCTCCTCTTCCTCTCCATCCGTCCAGGTGCCCTGCAGATAGAGATGAGCGAGGAGTCGGACCAGGGGAAGTATGAGTGTGTGGCCACCAACAGCGATGGGACACGCTACTCCACCCCAGCCAACCTCTACGTCAGAGGTAAGACATCATAATGAATAAACCAAAGGTCCGTCAGCCCATTAGAGCGCTTTGATTTAAGGACGTGCAGAGGATTCCTCTTGAAATCATCTTTTACGACTGTAAGTTGCAGTAATGTCGTCATGGGTTCGTTAAACCACTTGTGTTTTATAATTCAGAGCTGCACAGCAGTAAAACCGGGTCAATTGTTTCTTAAAGCGAGAGCTGCTTCACCCGATGTTTCACTGTTAATCTCTCTGCTCTCCCTCCTTTAGCCTTTAGACCGACGGGGGAGAAACAACCACGACACGTTTCTCCCCCAATCTGACATGAATATGACACCTTACCTCCTCAGGCACTGTCTCCCCAACACACACACACACACACACACACACACACAGACACACACACACATGCACACGCACACACACACACATACACACACGCACGCACACACACATGCACACACAGACACACACACACACACACACACATACACACACGCACACACACACAGACACACATGCACACGGACACATGCACACGCACACACACACACATACACACACGCACGCACACACGCACACACACAGACACACACACACACATGCACACGCACACACACATACATACACACACGCACGCACACACACATGCACACGCGCACACACACAGACACACGCACATGCACACGCACACACACATACATACACACACGCACGCACACACACATGCACACGCGCACACATACGCACACACACACAAACACACATGCACACACACACATACGCACACGAGCACACACACAGACACACACACAGACACACACACACACACAGACACATAGACACACACAGACAGACACACACACAGACAGACACACCGACACACACACAGACAGACACACACACACACATAGACACACACAGACAGACACACCGACACACACACAGACAGACACACACACACACATAGACACACACAGACAGACACACACCGACACACACACAGACAGACACACACCGGCGCTCGCTGAATCCTGCAGCGCTGCTCAGTGAGTGTTTGACAGGCGGAGACAGCAAAAGGCCGTCTGTGCTGTGTTTTCTCTCTCTTTGCGCTCCTCATATTTCTGTCTCCCTTTTTCTCCCCCTCCTCCCCCCCCTCCTCCTCCTCCTCCTCCTCCTCCTCCTCCCCTCTGCAGAGCTGCGAGAAGGTTGGTACAGTAACGAGTGTGCTGCTCTCTTTGAGTCTCTCCCCCCTGTCGTCCATTAAGCCTCCGTGTGTGTCCGTGTGTGTGGTTTGTGTTCCTCTGGTTCCCCCGTGAGTGCATGTGTGTTTGCAGTGCGTTGTGTTGATGTGAGTATCTTCCGTGTCTCAGCTGATGAAATATTTAATAGAGCACACCTAATGAATAAAATATTCTGATGCCACATGCGGCCTGACGGTGACGTTCCACATCGTCTCACTGCTTTGCAGTTGTTGTTTTTTAATGCCGTGAATCTTCATCTTCAGAGCACACGGAAACAAATACATCGTCGTTGTTCTGCAGCTCAGCAGCTCAGTAGCGGATTTCTAACCGCCCCCCTTCCGCTCTTCCCGCCCGGTCCAGTCCGCCGCGTCCCCCCGCGCTTCTCCATCCCCCCAGCCGACAGCGAGATCATGCCGGGGGGGAACGTCAACATCACCTGCGTCGCCGTGGGCTCCCCGATGCCCTACGTGAAGTGGATGCTGGGGGCGGAGGACCTGACGCCCGAGGACGACATGCCCATCGGCCGCAACGTCCTGGAGCTGACCGACGTGCGCCAGTCCAACAATTACACGTGCGTCGCCATGTCGACGCTCGGCGTGATCGAGGCGGTGGCGCAGATCATCGTGAAAGGTGGGTGGTGCAGCTTATGGGCGGAGGACAGGAGGCAGCGAGAGCAGCACAGGAAGGGCTGCTCGGACCTCGCCGAGGGCTTGTCCTTTTAAAAACAACAAAACGAAACGCCAAGGACGACATTTCCACTACAAGAGACATTTGCAATGAGACGTTGGTATGAATACGTAACAAGGTGGTGTCACAGATTCTTTTCTAAACATCAACAATGATTTCTGAATCTAGAATCCAAAGAGGAGCGACGAGCTGAATTACAATTTCACGTTGGGCAAATACCAATATAATATATTCCAATATACACAGGGTGTCATTTGGATTAGCAATGAGTCGAACTGACTATTTAGTCCAATTCTGATCCAATTCCAGTTGGATGTTGTTCAGTGTGTGATTTGTCGTATTTGAGACAGTCTCGTGGCGTAAAAGTAGATTTTCTCGTTTGGGGGCAGTCTGTCAGATGATTTCTTCACCCCAGGGGGGTCGTTTTGTAAAGTGTCCCTGTGTCTCCGTCCCTCAGCCCTGCCAAAGGCCCCTGGTAACCCCGAGGTGACGGAGAGAACTGCGACGAGCATCACACTCACCTGGGACTCGGGCAACCCTGAGCCGGTCTCCTATTACATCATTCAGGTGGGTGACAGGCGCCACAGTGCACAGAGGCTCTTAGGGAGGCACAAGTTAAGACGCCTAAAGCTGCAAGCTGCAATTTTATGTGAACGTAAAATTATAGTAATAAAGTCACCAAATAGCTCAAATGAAATCTGGTGTGTTCTCTGTCCCCGAGGAGTTCTGAAATAGAAATGTTAGCAATGAAAGATGACTGAACACCTCCTTCACCAGCATGAGAGGCAATTCATATGTAACCAGACTGAAACTACCTCATCATTTTTGTTAAACGTGTGTATTATTAAATAAGTCCTCTCTCGCCTCCTCCAGCACCGTGCAAGAGGGTCCGAGGACCCCTACAAGGAGATCGATGGCATCGCCACCACGCGCTACAGCGTGGGCGGCCTCAGCCCGTACTCCCACTACGACTTTCGGGTGGCGGCCGTCAACACAATTGGCCAGGGCCCCTCCAGCGAGGTGGTGGAGGCCCGCACAGCTGAGCAGGCCCCCTCCTCGCCTCCCCGGCAGGTACGTCTTCGGTTGGGACAAGACGAAAATCCCGTAAAGGCTTTTTTTGGACATCGGATACTTTGTGTGTGATGCATAATAAAGTGGCCTTTACGTCTCTGCGCTGCATTTGAGCCGCTCTGCTCAAGTTGCTCTTGTTTTCGCCCCCCTGCAGGTCAGAGGTCGCATGCTGAGCACGACCACGGCAATCATCCACTGGGACGAGCCCGAGGAACCCAACGGGCAGGTGGTGGGCTACAGGGTCTACTACACCTCGGACAACTCGCTGCCAGTCAACCAGGTGCGTCCGTTCGTTAAGAAACACAGAGTCAGTCTGTGGCTTCGCTTGCACTCACGCACCGGCTGTGTGTGTGTGTGTGTGTGTGTGTGTCTGTGTGTGTGCGCAGTGGGAGAAGCAGATGGTGCGCAGCGCCCACTTCATCACCATCCAGGGGTTGACTCCCAACAAGACATACTACATCAGAGTGCTGGCCTTCACCTCCATGGGAGACGGGCCGCTGTCTCAGGACCTGCAGATCATAGCCAAGACCGGAGGTGAGCCGGGGCGTAGATAAAGAATACAAGAAGGGATCTGAACATGGCTTTACTCATCCTGCTTTTGGCCCAATTCTGTAGTTCCATCCCAACCTTCAGAATTTAAGGGCGAGGCCAAGTCCGAGACCAGTATCCTGTTGTCGTGGGTCGCGCCGCCCCAGGGCGGCCCCGACAACCTGATCACGGGCTACGAGCTGGTCTACCGCCGAGCTGACGACACGGAGGAGGTAAAGCAAAAGGACAGGAGGACTGTATCGAACTGTCCGTACTACTAAAAGCTCCCTCTGTTCTTGTTCTATGCTCACGTCGTCCGCTGCTCTCGGGTTCCTCTCCGTGTGCTTTCAGAAGAAAGTGAGCTTTGAGCCCTCCACCTTCCACCTGCTGAAGAACCTGAAGCCTTTCTCCAGCTACACCTTCCAGCTGGCCGCCCGGAGCAGGCACGGCATCGGGGCGTACACCAACGAGGTGTTCATCGACACGCCGCAGACGCGTAGGTCCCACGACGAATACTGCGGCGAGTGTGTGTGTGTGTGTGTCAGAGACAGAGTGGTTTCAATTTTGTCGATGCAAAAATGAGACTCAATAAGAGAACCGCGAATGTCTGGATCCCCCCGTCGTAGATTTGTATGTTACAAACGGTTCTCTATAAGTACTTTGCATTGCCACAACTAACAGCACCTCAGGCTTGATGTTCGACACAAATACCAATGAAATCATTCCCAGAACTTGCTAGTTAGTTGGCTGTAACGTGGCGACGCTCTGTTTGGTGTGTGAGAGAATCAGTGAAGACAAAGGTAAGCAGCCGGAGGCGCTAGATAGAGGGGCACTACCACAAGGATCACACAGGCTTGGGTGGGCTGTGAGCAGCTGTGGGCAGGTATGTTTGTGTGTTGCAGCTCTTGTCTCTTCTTTTGAAATCATCCACCCGTTTCCATCGCTCCGTCGTCCCGCTCTCTAGCCGCCGGGTCATTTTGTTCGCTCTCCGTTCTCAGTGTTTTGTTTTCATTTTATGTTTCTTTGTCTTTTTTGTTCTCTGTCGTTCGTCCGCTCAATGTCATCCCACCGTTCCTTCACCTCCTCACCGCTCCACCCACTGATTACCACCTCCCACACCCAAACGACACACACACACTACCCTCCTCTGCTGGCCGGTCAGTTCCGTCGGCGCCGCCGCAGGACATCACATGCGCCAGCCCCAGCTCTACCAGCATCCTGGTAAGTTGGGCTCCGCCCCCTGTGGAGTTTCAAAACGGCGTCATCTCCGGATACTCCATCCAGTACTCCACGACCGAGGGCGGCCGGGTGTCTAAAAGCGTGGAGGGGATTCCTCCGGAGAGTTCTCCGTTCCTCCTGGAGGGCCTGGAGAAGTGGACCGAGTACGGCGTGACGGTACGGGCGCAGACGGAAGCCGGGGACGGGCCGGAGAGTTTACAGCTGCTCATCCGCACGGAGGAAGATGGTACGTTCCCAAGCAACACCCTCCAACCCCACCCGCCCCGCCCTCACCCCCACCTCCCGGTCCGCCTCTCTAACCACGGCTCACCTCACTAATGAGCTCAGTGCACCCAAAACTAACAGCGGCTTCCGTCCACGGCTCGGTCCAATGGAGGATGCGTTTAGGAACCAGTGCGAGCGTCGTGTTTCTCAAAGCCTCTCCTGAATTCCTTCTTCACCGCCGGAAACCTGCAGCATCCGGACACCTTCCCTGCTTCTCCCGCACCAACAGCAACCCTCTTGTGACTTCCATCCCCCTCTTTCTTTCCTACCGGCGTCGTTTTTCCGCATTTTTCCCCTTTCTGACGAAACTCCCTGTTTTTTGGGATCAGGCCTCCTTGGGATTTTCCCCTTTTTGTCTCCACTAACGATACCAGAACCAATCCCTTTGGCTCCGGCTGCACCTTGGCCCTTCCACGCCATGGCTTCTCTCACATGCCCTTCCAGCTCCTTCTATCAATGCCTCTCACTGTTTGTAATACGATGCATTTGATACTCTCAACGTCCTCTTTTTTCTAGTTGTAGAGACATTACATTATAGAGACAAGTGTAGTTCTTGGCAGCGAAGAGTTTTTCTTGATAACAGCATTTCCTCTTTGACTGCCTGCCACTGTTTATCTGCCCAGGGCAACAAGTCCTTTTCTATCTGCCATTCTTATCTTCCTCTACATTTGCTTCTTATCCTCCACTGCTTTTTTCCTCCATGTTTTTCCTCAAGCACTCATTTTCTTTTAGTATTTTGACTTTTTTCCCCAGACATCAGAGCACTTTCACACTTTTTGGAGGGTTGTATTTTTCAGCTTTTGGGTGTTTTTTCTTTTGTATCTGCCCATGAATCCTGTATATTTTTGAACAGAAAAAGTGAGGGCCTTTAGAGGTTTGAGTGCCCATCCTCTGTGACCCTTGACCTGTATCCCAAAATGCACATTTAGTTCCAAGCGGTCCTCCGCGAGGGGTGGAGGCGGAGACTGTGAACGCCTCGGCCGTTAGGGTGAAATGGCGAGCTCCAGCTCCCGAACGGCAGCACGGCCACGTTCGAGGCTACCAAGTCCACTATGTGAGGACGCACTACGGAGAACCTCAGGGTCAGCCGCTCATCAAGGACATCCTCATGGAGGACGCTCAGGTAGAACCAACAGGCACTCTGCAGCAACTATTTCGTGACAATTTACATATTTCTATTATACATTAATATTTATTGCAATTTTGCAATCGGACGTGTTATGGTAATAGTGTCATTAAAGCCATGAATAAATAAAGAGCTCCCTCGACACCTTGATATAGATCGATGATGAGGAAGCCAGAATGTTGCCATCGAGGTGTAACTCGAGAAGATGAATCCTTTTTTTCAGTCACAATGAAGGAATCTGTGGCAGCTTCCACATAAACGTCCAACATACGATAATCAGAGATGAGAAATGGGGCCAAATGTGTTGAAGCATTGAGCACAAACCTTCCTTAAGATTGCCTCATATCTGCTTATTTGCCTTCTACATTTAGATGAGACGGCAGGGGGCGGGTCTAAAGCTCACTATTATACATGTTCGATCCTGTTTGTTGGATCAAGCCGTCTAATTTCTCCTCTAATTATTGACGAGCAGAAAGAAAATCAAAGTGCATTTCATTATTTTCATTTTCGGCATTATTGGATCTCAGTCCGGGATAAATAATGGACCGAAATCAAACTAACTGCTAATTACTGCTGATAGTTTCAAGCTACTGCTGCCAGTAAAAGATGCTGCGTTTTTCCGCTTGCACACCAAACATTACAGATTGCCTTTTCTTTTCCTCTTTTCTCGATGCTGCTTCTCAGAGGGAATATGGTGACTCAACTGAATATGTGAGTAAACCCGTGTTGTTTAATAGTGAGAACTATGAGTCACAGTGATGAGATTGTAGTTTTAACGTGTCCTATGACATGAATGAGGGCGTAAATAGTTTTTCTGTTCTGCACGTTGTATTGTCTCCAGAATTCTTAAATAAACATCCGTGAAAAAGAAAATGGGTAACTGATGATGTGAGTCACTCGCAGATATTGCCAAAATACCATCATTTATGCTTTCCGCTGGCCAAGAAGATGAAGAAAAAATTGTATTTGGTGTTTAGATGGAGACCGATCTAAATGAGCTGCGAGTGTCTGCGTGGTTAAAGGACATTTTGTGTTGCTAGTGAACCACATCCTCAAATCTGTTGGGATGATTTGATGTATTTGTCGTGTGCTTCGTTGAGACGATTTATTATGGAGAAAGACTTCGCTGACATAGAAACGGTGGAATGTCCGTCCTGCACAGGCACAGAAGTGCATCTCCTTTAAGCCCAGCAGCACCCGTTAAACCGTTGCTCCGTGTCCGGGGGGGCGGCGCCGCTGTGGTGCTGACAGTGCTTTCCGTCTTCCTGCAGGAGGTGGTTCTGGGAGACCTGAGGGCGGACACTGCCTACTCCGTGTCGGTGGGGGCTTACACCGCCAAGGGCGACGGCGCGCGCAGCAAACCTGTTACCGTGTGCAGCGCCCTGCCGCGTAAGTGTGTCCCGCGAACACGCACACGTAGTAATGATCTCTGAGCCCAAAGCGCCGCTAATGATCATTAGAGGCCATTAAATTGCTTCCTGTCCCACTCTGTCACACCTTGATGTGCCCAAAAAGAAGCTGCGTTAATCATATTTTGCGGTTTTGCTCGTGAGTGAGAAATAATGCGCTTTGCAATTATTCCCTGATGATCTTCTCATCGCTTCTCGCTTCGTAGTGCCCGAGAAGCCCAGGCTGAGTGTGAGCGCCACCGACTCGGGGACGGCTCTGCTTCAGTGGCACCCGCAGCCCAACCCGCCCACGCCGCTCCTCGGGTACCGCCTGACCTTCGGCCGCCTCGACGTCCTCCCCTTCACCGTGGTGGAGTTCCCCACCAAGGAGAGCCGCTACACGGCCCAGGACATCCACAAGGGCGCCAAGTACGTGTTCCGCCTCTCCTCCCGGAACAAAATGGGCTACGGCGAGGAGGCCCTCGGGGAGCTGACCACTCCGGAGGACGCCCCCAGCGGCTACCCGGAAAACGTCGTCCTGGAGGAGGCGTCCGCCGACTCCCTCCGGCTGGCGTGGAAATCCGTCCCGCTGCTCGAGCAAAACGGAAAGATCCGCAAGTACTCGGTTCTGTACAAGGACGTGAACAGCAGGGGAAACGCCTCGGAGGCGGAGGTGGCCGCGCCGGGGGCGGCGGTTCTGTTGGAGGGCCTGAGTGCCGACACCGTGTACGAAGTCAGGTTGTGCGCGTCCACCGCTGTCGGCGCCGGGCCGCTCAGCCCCGCCGTCCAGTTTAGGACGCGGCGGCTGGACCAAGGTAGGCTTCACTTTTCCAACCAGCCGCCTTCGTCCGTCGGGAGGCGACGCGCGCTTCCCCGCTGCACACACACGCCCCTCTTCCACACGCACACACACACACACACACACACACACACACGCCTGGTGACGACATACTCAGTGTCCTTGTTCGTTGTCTTGTCACTGTAGTCTTAGAAGGTCCTTTTCCCAAAGCAAGGTAAGCGTCTCGGGTGATGAGTGTTGGTCGGCGCGGGTAGTTAGCGTGAGGCGGTAGAGGGACACACAGGTAGGACATCACGTTGGGTTCAGTAGAGACTAAACACCACAGGAACCGTCGTCATCTGCCTTCTTTTTTGTCCCTTTGTAGTTTTCGCCACCAACTTCAGAGTAAAAGCGTCCATGAAGAACTCGGTCCTGCTCTCCTGGGAGATACGAGACAAGAACCCGACCCAGCCCTTCACTGTGAGTACAGTCATTACATTTAAACATAACACCTGCATCTGTAACATCAGCAACTATGTGAGAGCATTCGACACGGGCTGCGTTGCGTGTCTGACTCCTCGCCATATGTCCCCCCCGTCCCGTCCCCCGTCCAGATCCTCTATGGGAAGGGCCAGTCCGTGGAGGTGGACGGGAAGCAGACCCAGAAGCTGATCGCCGGCTTGGAGCCGGACACGCTCTACTCCTTTCTGCTCACCAACCGGGCCAACAGCGCCGGGGGCCTGCAGCACCGCGTCACCGCCACCACCGCTCCGGACATCCTGAAGACCAAGCCCACGGTGGTGGGCAAGACCAACGCGGACGGCATGGTGACGGTGCAGCTGCCCACCGTGCAGACCGCGGCCAAAGTCAGGTAGCGACGATGCGAGCGAAGGGGGAGGGAGGGGGGGAGGGAAGGGGGGAGGGCGAGCCTTCGTCTCTTTGACAGCAACCTGTGCGGATTGTGCTCCCAATTTCTCCTCCTTCAGCTGCTGCCTCTCAGTCACTGCTCCTTGGGGAGGGATTTCTCTGGAGTTTGGCAGCGAGGCCGGTCTCGTAATAAGCCAAATGAATCACGAGCTGCTCATCTGCCTTTTTCATAACCAGGAACTAGTAAACAAAGTGAGAGTGGCCCTCTGCCTGAGAGCGCTGCCGCTCGCCGCGCTCAACCAATCACAAACAGCACGAGATGTTTCGCGTGGAAGCTTTGTGAGACTTTCCCATCGGTCAGCGGACGTCTCTCCTGCCTGATTCTAGACTTTCCGGTCTGATGGCGGGTTCTGACTGTTTCTGACAGAATTCCTCGTGGTGTTATTGTTTTTGTCTCGGAGCGCTCTGTTCCAAAAACAGGCGCGCTGTTTGGGTTACGCGTGCGGTGACACGGCCGCCGCATAGCGCCGTATTAATGGCGCGAGACTCTTTCTTTCAGTAGCTTCAAAGAGTTTTCCATTTAAGGAGACATTCGTCCACTGAGAGTTAGACGATGAGACCCTCACAGCCAGCGAGTAGATGTGAGTTCAGATAAATAGAAGAGCAAAAAAAATACACAAGATTTGTATTAAACCAAAATGAAATGAATAGAAAAGGACGGATGCAGGGTAAAGGGAGCTAAACGAGCCGGGACGTCAGCGCGCTGGTGTTCCTGCAGAGACGGAGAGCATCTTTCTGTGCTGCAGGGGTTACTACGTGGTGGTGCTGCCGCTGAAGAAGCAGAGAGGAGGGAAGTTCCTCAACCCCTGGGAGGAGCCTGACCAGATGAACCTGGAGGAGGTGAGGCATTTTATTTATCGCAACTCCTTAATAAGCCATTTTCAGATTGTTGTTAAATTAATTCCAAACTCGAAATGGCCCCTTGAGGAACAATTTCGATTTCATTGCAAGTCGCACAAAGGAGAAAAAGCGTCCGGTGTCACACGATTTGTGTCTCATTATGCAAAAGGTAGACGAGCCTGTTCAAGCCAAACAATGCGTTCGCTTAGCGCGTCCCGTCCAATTCCACTTCCCGTCGTTTTTTCCTCGCCGCCTCATTACACTGCTGAGAAAGCTCACCGGCGTGAGCCAGATGGAGCTTTCACGGCGCCATCTCGTCTCCGTGGATAAATGTGGCAGCGATTCAGTTGATGAAGCGCCGTGCGGCTCCCATCGTTCCGTCCCGATGAGGCTCTTTTCTGCCTCTCTAGCTCCTGAAAGAGATGAACAGGACCGGCGTCAGCCGCGCGCTGCGCAGCCGCAGGCAGGCCGGCCAATCAGATCCCAGGGCCTACGTCAGCGCTCACTTCAAGACCCTCCCCCTGGAGTTCACCCTGGGCGACGGGCGCGACCACGGCGACTTCCGCAACCGTCCGCTGCAGAACGGGCAGGAGTATGTTTTCTTTGTGCTGGCGCTGTTGGACCTCTCCGAGAACGTGAGCAGAACCAGCGCACACAGGTCGCTCCCTCAGGCGCCGTTCAGTGTGAAACGCAGTTCTTAGGGGTGTGTTTCTCTCGCCGCAGACCATGTACGCCACCAGCCCTTATTCTGATCCCGTGACCTCATCGGGCGTGGACCCTCAGCCCATCGTGGACGAGGAGGAGGGCCTCCTGTGGGTGGTGGGGCCCGTGCTGGCTGTCATCTTCATCGTCTGCATCGTCATCGCCATTCTGCTGTTCAAGAGGTGGGAGAAGAAGAGATGGTTTAATAAGGAGTAATAATGAGAGACGGAGCGAGGAAATCAAAAAGAGAAAAATAATTAGAATCAACCGCGGATACTTTCATGGGATTAAAAGATTCTCATTTGCAGTTTTGCTTGTTCTTGGGGCCTTAAACGTATTCAGTAGTCCTGAATCACAAGCAGCAGTTCTCACACTGCCTTTGACAAAGCAGTCAGAAGAAAAACAGCGTCCCAGACTGCTGTGCAACACGCAAACAGGAAGTCTAATGTTTCAGTCAGTTATCCGCCTGTGTGCAGGATCAGTTCCTGTTTGCGTCCCACGTGTCCCTGCGTGCTGGATGACTTTGGTGCTGAAGGAACACATGATTTACTTTCACCAGTCTCCTTATTCAGATTATTTCTTTTAATTGGAATCTGTTTGTATTTAAAGTGTTATTCACACTGAATCAAATCAATGTGTCATTGACGGTTCATCATGCGGCTCCGTAATCAATACTATATTCTGGACAAACATCAAGGTGTATTTATTGCTGCTACACAATTAACTTAATATGTGTGTGTTTGGTACTCAGGCTTTGTCAGGCTTCTGTAATCTGGTTGTAAAAATGTCTATCCGGGGAGCCGGGCCGGCGTAACGGAGAGCGGAAGATAAGATGATCGCTCATTAGCATTATTCACGATAATGATCCCTTCTGCTGGCTCGAGCTTTGTTAAAGCACGAATGCAAACGCAATAAATGACTGCGACCAATGCAGCGTTTTGCAGAATTATTAACCTCAATGGTAAAAACACACAGTTGTTGACCCACAGCCTTTCCAGTGTGTGTGGACGCAGAGACTAAATGCTCATCAGTTAGCTTTACAGTCACTGTGTAACTCGTTCAATAGGAGGTGCTGTTAGCGTCTGACATTGTGACTCGTTTCAATGAGAGAGATAGAAACTCTGCTTTACTCGCTGGTGTATCTTGTTTTCTTCCGACTGGACACTAATGTTATTCCTCCTCGTCTGTCCTTTTGTCCTGCTGTCCTCTCCATTCTGGATCCAGCAAACCTGACAGGTAATCAAACGCCGCCCGTTTCCTCCGTCCTGCACGTTTCTCTTGAAAAGCCAGTAAAGATTATTATAGCACATCTCAGTCGAGTCAGGATTCACGTTGATGTGTTGATGTGACTCCAGGAAACGGGCGGAGGCCGAGGGCAGGAAGGGCAGTTTCCCCTGCAGCAAGGCCATGTCGTCCCACCACCCCACTGATCCCGTGGAGCTCCGCCGCATCAACTTCCAGACTCCAGGTTCGACCCCAACACGCGAGCGCGGGGCGTCGCTCCACGTGTGTTTTCTCTTAAAGTCTCGTGTTTGCTGGATTAACGGCGGTGTCGTTTTCCCCTTCTCAGCCTACCGCGTGTCCGTGTACCGCGGCTACCGCCGCTTGTCAAGTTAGTCGCCCTCAGTGGGAACATGTAGCTTCTCCGCTCTGTTCCCACCGCGTGTCCTTCTTTTCTATTCCATTTCATCGCTAACTAACCTCCCATCCCGTCTAGGGCGAAGCTGCTTGGACTGACAACATTTCACCCAGACGCCACCGGAACGCTTCTTAATCCAAAAATCATAAAAAGCAGAATTTGTAACCGCCTGGGTCATGGTCTTTTTCCCGTGTCGGCGCGGACGTGTTCCTGCGCCGCAGTAACTTTCAGAGCATGCGCGTTGTTCTCTCTGTCTGCCAAGAGAGAACATGGTCGCTTAACCAAATAAAACCACCCATTTGCTTCCTGCGTCGACTGCGGACGGCGCACTAAAGCACTCTGGGAATCCTCACTCTTAACATGTCCCCCCCCCCCAAAAACATCCAAGTAACGTTGTAAATGTTCCCAAATGGCTTCTCTCTTTCCCTGGTGTGCTCGGCAGGCATGGCGAGTCACCCGCCCGTCCCCATCTCCGAGCTGGCGGATCACTCCGAGCGCCTCAAGGCCAACGACAACCTCAAGTTCTCCCAAGAGTACGAGGTAGGCGCGCTGCTTGTCTTCTCCTGGAAGGCTTCACACTCGGGCAAATTCCCCTGGTTTCTGACGCAGATTCACGGTCGACTCGTCTTGTTTTTCGGCTCAGCTCGTCCCGCAGTCCCCCGAGTGGCATTTTGATATTATTCATCATAGAGCGACACTCTCTCTCTGCTGACTTGTCTTCATCTCTACAAATACAAAGGGGGGAGCTCAAAGAGAGTTACAGCCAGATGGTTATCCAGCCCCATATTTCATTTTATATTTTCTACTCGCTGGCGTAGCGAGAAGGATGGAAATAAAGAGTCAGCGTCGGAGAGAGAACTCGTCCAAGAGATACAGGAAGCGAGTGCCCTCTTAAGAAGGAAAAAGAGTTTCTGATTAGTTTCCTTTAACTCGCAGCACAGTCAAAATAAAAGGCCTTGTACTTGGCGCCTGAACTCAGTGTGCTGAGCTGTGTCACTGAATAAAACTTATCAACGAGATCCACAGAGAGCCATCAACGTGTTTCCTCCTAACGAAGGAAACACGTGGCAGACGTGAAGCTCTAATTGGCCAGAACGAGACTCGCGTGTGACGGACAGCGGCGTGTGGAGGGAGACAAGAGCACGCTACCCGGGGGGGGCTGTGTGTGATTGTGGTGTCAGCTCTCTGCTGAACCCCCCCGTCCTCTCTGCACGACTGTGGGCTTTGTTCGGGGCCGAGACCCTTAACGGCAAAGGGAGCGCGAGAGATGGATGCAGGGGGGACGGGAGGGGGGGGGGGGGGGGGGGGCATTTGGGGGTAAAAAAAAAAAACAAATGGGGGGGGGGGGGGGGGCGATTGCGGCGTAATAATCAGACACACATGGCGTCGGGCGGCGCACACACACACACACACACACACACACACACACACGCAGGGACGAACTCAATCCAGCAGCGCTGCGGCCCCCTTTTTCCTCCCCGGCTGCACCATAATTATGTGCCGTAAAATATTCACAATTGCTGAATTGCTGTGGCTCGCCGCTCGCCGCTCGCCGTCCCCCTCCACTGACAGCCCCGTGATGACCTCACGTCTGCCTCAACGCCGATGCTCTCCCTGTCATTACCCCGCAGGAACTTAGTGTGTTGGTCCAACACAACCAGAGGGATTCGTGCTGCTTTTATCCTCCGTCTCTGCTCGTTGGCGGCATTTTGTTTTGTTTCGATTGCGTCGAAAGCGGAAAGTCTGAAGCGCTGTAGTTTCAGACATTACTGTCCAAGTTCAATAACGCTGTTAATTCTCAATTTGTCCTCGGTTTGTAATGCTGTGGTTTTGCTTCAGTCACAGTGGGCAGCAGCTCAAGTTCACACAACTGGGCAGTTTGGGGCTTTTCTAAAGCCATTTTCTGCATTTTGAGGCCAATGTCTGAGGAAAACTGTACAGCGCGTTGTTGAATAATTTGATCCATTATATGCGAGTTGAAAAGAGATGTTGGTATTTTATCCTCCCTTCTTTGACCTTGTCTCTTGCACCTTGCAGTCCCTCGACCCCGGGCAGCAGTTCACATGGGAGAACTCCAACCTGGAGGTCAACAAACCAAAGAACCGCTACGCCAACGTCATCGCTTACGATCACTCCAGGGTGATTCTCTCCAGCATTGAGGGTGAGACACGCTGCCGCGGTGTGTGTGTGTGAGAACTTCTACTTCTACCCTAGTGGGGACCAACTCGAGCAGTGAGACATTCTGAGGAAGTGACAGCATTTTGTTCTCTTAAGGGCCGTGTGTGGTTTGTGTCTTGGTTACAGAGTAAATGTTAGGCTGATGGGGGGGGGGGCGGGGGGGCATTTCACCTCTATTTGGTGCGTGACGTCAACATTTCTGCAGCTGTAAGTTGTGGAAAGAAACTTGTGTGAGGCGTAAAAGTCTGAGATCGTGGTCAGTGTGACGTCCTGCGTCCTGCAAGTGCTGGGAACTTTAGTTTTTATTTATTTGTTAAGCTGTTCACCTTAACAGTAGTTCTGCTCGAACGTGATCAATGGAAATTAATGGAGAAGAATCCCAAGCTGTTAGAGGTTAAACATTTTGTGAGTAAATTGTCTAATACCAAATTGAATCATTTAACTTTGTGAAGAGGGCTTTTATTTTTCAATAATTTTAGGAGATACTGATTTAAATTAGGGGGATTTCATGTTAATTACTTTTATACTTTCCATCTTGAGTGTTCGCTTCTTTACAGACGGAGACTCAATTCTGACACATCGAGTAAAAAGTGTTTCCATCTCTGCACAACAGAAAACGCACATTCCGTTGATACTGTTGGTTACTTTAATATTGGAATTTTGCAGCCACTGTAAGTCAAGTATTAAAGTACACGTCTCAGAGCTGCTGTACACGTCATGTGAGGTATTCACTGTACAGTGTATTTATTGATATAGTTCCACTGTGTGCTCATTCTACTGTATTTGCTCCTCTTAAAACTAAAATTAGAAAAATAAAATGGTCTCGGCCGCGTTCTCGGCGCCCACCTCAGCTGGGAAAGACCTGAGGCAGAGAAACTGGCAGAGAGGGAGGCAGTGGGAGGCCGAGCCCGAACAGATGAGCCTTATCTGGGCAGAGCATGTGTGAGCAGCCCTTCCACCCGGAGGCCTGGCTGTCTGTCTCCCTTTCAGCTTACAGCTAACACAGCTAACACACACACACACACACACACACACACACACACACCGTTTCTACTACACGTTTAAAACACATGCCCAGGATGTGCATAAGCGCAGATATGCACTTCTGCTCCCCGTGCTGCATGAACACACACTCTGTGCCAGCGCGACTGTGTGCGTCTGTGTGCGTCTGTGTGCGTCTGTGTGCGTCTGTGTGCGTCTGTGTGCGTCTGTGTGCGTCTGTGTGCGTCGTATCTGCACAGCGCTGTAGTCCCTCGCAAATAAAGTTGCAGCACATCAGAGCACGTAGCCCGTCTGTCTGTTAAAGACCGGAGTTGATGAACATGTGTTCAAAGCTCTTCTTACCGTCTGTGCTCAAACCCCCCCGCGCTCCTGTGTGTGTGCGTAAGTGCACACGGCGGCGGCGGCGGCGGCTTGGAGGATTGCGCTCACATGAAATGGCGTCAGGAAGAGAATCATCTGCAGGAGTTTCTTCCTGTCAGGGCTTCTTCTGTCATCGACTTCCATCTCCTCAAACGTTTTTTGTGGCACTTTGGCGGATTCGGGTCAAGGCTGAACGCACGCGCCCGCGTCTGCGTCTGTGTGGACTGTGGTGTTTTTGATTTGTGTGTGTTTGTGCGAGTGTGGATGTTTGAGCTGTGACTCAGTGATTTTGGGGATTATGGTATTAGGCCCCAGATGAGCAGGACTGATCCTAAATCAAATACACACAGATGGTCTCTCGCGTCGCAAACACTCACACACACACACACACACACACGCACACACAATCCCCTCCAGGACGAGCGGTGTCAGCTGAGTGTGACACAGAGGGGCCCTGCAGCCGCGTTGCCATTCAAAGCGACACATCCAGTATTCTCAGATTAGGCCCGTGATCGTCTCAGCACGTATTATAAAACAAGACGGCTGAACAATCCAACACCAAAGGACGCTTGGCCCGGTGCAACCGTTAATCCCCCCGCCATGACCCCAGATGAACCCCCCGCCCTCTTTATTACTGCAGCGCCAACCTGCTTTCACAGCTGCAGACTTTGATTAATCCATATAGATTATTTCACCGTGAATCCGAACAACAATCAGGTTGATCCGCAAAGGACAGAATGTGTTTACCAAGCGAGTGACGTCACATTCCCTTCACCTCATGGCGCAGGTGTCCCAGGCAGTGACTACATCAACTCCAACTACATCGACGGCTACCGCCGGCAGAACGCCTACATCGCCACTCAGGGACCCCTCCCCGAGACCTTCGGCGAGTTCTGGAGGATGGTGTGGGAGCAGCACACGGCCAACATCATCATGATGACCAAGCTAGAAGAGAAGTCCCGGGTAAGAAAGTACGCTGGGGCGGCGCCAACACAACACCGGCGCCCTCAGGGAGGCCAAGGGGAAACTGCAACCGTTGCATCCAGCAGACAATATCTTTATGCTGCAAGGGAGGCAGAGCCTTATCTGTTTGGCCCCAGTTTCCTTGAGGCGTGGGCGAGGCAGCAGGCGGCATAACGAAGCACCGGGGCGCCTCATCGCGAGAACAGATCAGAGGACTGAATGAGAAGACGAGCAACGTCATTAAGGCGGCGAAGCCCAGAGTGAGAAGTTAAGAGAGCACAGCGAAAGGCGCCATGCAGTTAATCAGCTCAAGGGGATAAACAGCAGGATGGGGGCAGGTCCAGGGGGGGCTACAAGTACAGCTGAATAGGGGGTAGGCAGTGAATTAGAAAATCATTTATGCCTCAGGGCCTTTTAGTATGAATGCAATGTAATGAGAATGTCATGTTAGAATAAAGCAATAACTAGAAATGCTGGAGGTGTCGTCAGCAATTATGTCCACGGCCGTGTTCAGAAAATGATCCTTCCATCTGCTTCCCTCCTACTAACCTGTGTCCTGTGTTAAAACTGTTTGCTTTTCCGACTTTTTCCAACCGTCTCCGTTGTGTCTGTTTGACCCTCAGATGCCCTCTTATTTCTTCTCTAAGGCAAGACCTCTCTTTCCTTCCTTTGCTAATCCCTTAAAATGCAACCTCACCTCACATGGTTCTCTCCTTACCTTCTTCCTCCATCCAGTGCCCTTTTCTGCTGCCCCCCCTCCACCTCTCCACCTCTCCCCACCCCACCACCTCTTTATCTGTGCTTCCAACCGGGTGCATTGACTCATCTCAGGGCCCTCGTAGTTTCATTGTGTCCCCCGCAGGTCAGACACAGTGCACGTTGCCTGAGGACGGGTTACAAACGTCAGGCTGTTACTGTTTGTGACTGAGCGCGATGTGAATTCAATAAGTGATCACAGCGAGGACAGCGGTTAATTATCAGCCCACTGGCTCCATGTCTGCTTGTTGGAGGAGATGATTTAATCTCAGTCAGCACCTCTCAACGTCACGTGTTTACGCATTAACGACACGCATGATCCCAGATGGTCCGTCCTCCCTTCTAGCTCCACTCAGGCTGGTACCCAGTACGTCAGGTGGCCTTCACGCTGCAAGCCTTAGTCTCGCCCCCGCGTGGACAGCCGCTCCTGTCCCCGCTGCGTCTCAAGGTCTGGTGGGAAAACAACAGTTGGAAAGCTGTGATTACAGCCTGATTGTCCTGGGCCAGAAGGCGTAATCCCCCAGGCAGGAGCAGCGGAATGCAGAGCGAGCTCCCTGCTGTCTTTGATGTGACGAGTGGAGGGATCAGCGCGCAGCGTCTGCTCTGGCCTGATTCTGCCAAGCACACCCGGCCCGTTCCCCCCCTGTGTTACCCTCCCCGCTCTCTGAGGCTGACCTGGAGAAACTACATATATGGCCGCTTTATTCGGGGGGGGGGGCGTTCGATTTGGTTTGTGCAGGGTGTCGTTTTTTAGGGATTTGTGAGGTTGTACTGTAGGGCGATGTGCGACCTCACACATGTGAAGGGAAGCGGTGCACTTTGAGTAGACGGATCTGCGTGACGGCCACCAACCTGTTCATGCCACACAGGTTTTCTAGTATTGAAAGCTCTCTCTGTCTGTCTGTCTGTCACGCCTAACCCCACGCACTCACTAAAGCCACTTTTACACACCGGGTAGTCGCTATATATGCACATTTTTTCCCAACATTACTGTCAGAATTTTGCGCAAACTCTCTTACTAATTTGCAGTAACGTTCCCCTCCCAAAGTCTGCTCTTTCTGTCTCTTCTTTCACAAAAAGAAAATGCATACAGACATTATGCAAACTGCTGCGCGTCCTTACCAGCTTCCCCCCCACGTAGGTGAAGTGCGATCAGTACTGGCCGACCCGCGGCACAGAGACCTACGGCCTGATCCAGGTCACTCTGCTGGACACGGTGGAGCTGGCCACCTACTCCGTCAGGACCTTCGCCCTTTACAAGGTAACACGCCGGGGTTCGGTGGGCTGTAATGAGGCCGCGTGTGCATTCATCTGTTGAAATATTCTGTACATGCAGTTGCTTGTAGTTGTGACCCAACACAAAGGGAAAACAACATATGTAGTTCAATGGGTCACTGGGTTCAGTAATATATTAACTAATGTAGATCCGTTGGCTTCCAGCCTTAAAAAGGGACGTTTCTAAGTAAGAAGCAACACGTGCTTTATCTTCCAGAGCGGCTCCAATGAGAAGCGCGAGGTGCGTCACTTCCAGTTCACCGCCTGGCCGGACCACGGAGTCCCAGAACACCCCACGCCCTTCCTGGCCTTCCTACGCAGGGTCAAGGCCTGCAACCCCCCAGATGCCGGTCCCATGGTCGTCCATTGCAGGTCTGTGTGTGTGTGTGCTTGCATCCTGATTTGGGTCCGTCCTCGCTGGTCCACTAGTTGGAACTGAAGCGCGCTGCTCTGCGTGGAGGTTGAGGGAAGATTCCGGAGGTTTGTCGTTGGAGCTCCAGAGCTGGAGGGAAGCTGCTGTCGGGGAGTGAAGGAAGACAAGATGGAGGGTCGGCAGAGCAAGAAAGCGAAGAAAAGGGGATTGAGGAATGATGGAGAGCCAGAGTTAGCGAGGGGCCGGGTGTCAGAGGAGGTGACATGCGAGCGGAACGACGGCGAAGATGAGGTCGAATTGAGGACGCGGCGAATGGAAATGATGAATTAAAGAAAAGAGAAGGTGACGGGAAAATGGAATTTAGAAAGGGAAAAAAAAAAGGACTAATGCATGAAAAAGTGGTACGGCTGGCGTGAGAGTGGTGCAGGGATACTTTGGGAGAAGATGAAGCGGCTGGGAGACAAGGACGCGGAGGGAGAGGGAGGGGGGAGGTTGGCAGGAGAGGAGCTCTCCCTAATCTTCCGTAGCATTCAGATGGAGCATCTAACAGGATTATCAGTCAAATTTAATTATCCCGGCAAGACTCCATCATAATGTGCTTTACTGTATTAAGCAGCCTCCGTATCACACGACCCGTCTCATTTCACCTGTGCAGCAACCTCTGCATGTGTGTGTGTGCACCTCACCGACACTGAACGGCATAAAGCGTTTATGTTGACTTGCCTGGTCAGGCTGTTTCACCGCGTCGGTACCAGTTTGGGTGGGAAGCTAAATGTATTATATTTCAGGATTGCATGTCGATGCGAGCGGATATCTTCTTAACGCCAGTCAGACGGCGACGCTGACTCATCGCTGATGTCAATTCTAAAGTCCATTGTTGGAAATGTCGCCGGCCGGCTGCAAAAGTCGCTGCAAAACCGTTTGCCCCACAGTTCGTACCCCGAAGGGTACGCATGTCTTACCGCATCCCCATCTGCTCCTCCCCCCCCCCCCCCCGCCGCCTGGTTCTTCGGCTCAGCGCCGGAGTCGGTCGCACCGGCTGCTTCATCGTGATCGACGCCATGGCGGAGCGGATCAAGCAGGAGAAGACCCTGGACGTGTACGGCCACGTCACGCTGATGCGCTCCCAGAGGAACTACATGGTCCAGACGGAGGACCAGTACATCTTCATCCACGACGCGCTGCTGGAGGCCGTGACCTGCGGCAACACCGAGGTCCCCGCCAGGAACCTGTACTCCTACATCCAGAGGCTGACGCAGATGGAACCGGGCGAGAACGTCACCGGCATGGAGGTGGAGTTCAAGGTGAGGAACTTATTCCGTTTATTGTGGCTCACAGAACCGACAGCAACAATATTTAGATGGTCCTCGATGATTGAGGCAATCTGAACAGAAGACGTTATATCTGGGTGGTTCGTTCCCATGAAACCTTTCCCGTCAGCTTGGGCCAGCTGCTGCTTTTGGGATGCGGTGTGGCCCGTTTAGAAGCTCACGCTGCAGGGTGACGGGTTCGCGTACACTCGTCGGTTACATCCCACCACAGCGCGTCGCTCCGATTGCCGATGAACCGAGGGCCCCTTGAACCCGTCTGCTCGGCCTCGCAGCGGGACGTACGTGCCAGAGGTGTCCCCCCCCCCCGTCCCCCCCGTCCCGTCTCACTCAAACACTCTGCGGTGACAGACGCTGCGCTTTCCGCCCCTCGTCAACAAAAGCACCGACGGGATGGAATTTCCCACGGAGGAACGCAGAGGCCGGTCTGTGGGAGGAGACATGAACGCAGCTGTCCTGGCAGCTTTGGGTAACCCAACACTCCATTAGGACACGATGTTTCTGTTTCCTCGCACAGAGGCAGAGAGAGTTTACTGTGAGAGTCTAAAGAGGCTGCCAGCAGCGCAGGATTCCATCCAAGCTCAACAGATGGTTAAAATAACGGGCACGCAGCGACGGGACGGAACGTTTCGTGTCTTCCACACCTCATCGATGAGGCAAAGTCCGACTCACATGCTGAGCTGCTGTCGTTGGCACCGGACACCTCGGCCCGGCGAGCAGAGATGACCCGGCGTTTTCCAGCGCGGTCTGCTGCTGCTCCCACGGCGCTCACCGTCCCCATGGTCCCCGTCTGCGGTCCCCGTCCCTCGGCCCGCTCTCTGTTCTTCTGTCTCTGGTCTCTGGGTCGGGGGTCGGAGGGAGGGTGCGGTGTGTGCGTATGAGGCTCTTTCTCATTCTCCCGTTGCCGGTGAAGGATCCTCTGCGGTTCACACATGTGCGTCGGGCCCTTGTGGGGCTCTTGTGGGGCTCTTGTGGGAACCTTGTGGTTTTCTGCCCCCCCTGTAACCCTCCACGACTCTTTTCTTCTCTCTCCTCTCGTTCCTTTTAGAATATTCCCCCCCGCTGCCCTCTTTCCCCGATATTGTCCCTCTGTCTGTCTGGCTAAATACCCTCCGGCCTGCTGAGTCAGACGGATTTAGTCTTCTTGTTGTCTGGGGAAGGTTTGCGCTAAATACATCTGAATGAGGTCCCTGTGTTTGTCCTTTTTCATCCAATCCCCCTTGTTCATCACTCCCCTCATCCTTCCTTTGATGTCGTTGTGTTTGAATCCTATCCACGGATCTTTAAGAGCCTCGTGTGGGACCGGCCAAGTTTTTGACACCAATAAAATGATTTAATAGATGAATTCACGCATCTTTAATGCCAGTCAGTGTAACGCTGTAAGATATTGACTTGCTTTCCGCTCCAGCGTCTGGCCAGTGCCAAGGCCCACACATCTCGCTTTGTGAGTGCCAACCTGCCGTGCAACAAGTTTAAGAACCGGCTGGTGAACATCATGCCGTACGAGACCACGCGAGTCAGCCTGCAGCCAATCAGAGGGGTGGAGGGGTCGGACTACATCAATGCCAGCTTCATCGATGGATACAGGTCAGATCACATGGCTGCTCGTTTGTTTGCCCAGTTGCCTCGTTGGTATTTATTCAGGTTGAGTTGTTATTTTAGGCTAACGCTGCTGTTTGTGTTCGCAGGCAGCAGAAGGCCTACATAGCAACCCAAGGCCCGCTGGCTGAGACCACTGAGGACTACTGGAGGATGCTGTGGGAACACAACTCCACCATCGTGGTCATGCTGACCAAACTGAGAGAGATGGGACGGGTACGGACAGTCAATTGTACCTCATAATTTAACTATTTCACGCTGAGAAGAAGAATGCAGCTCTTTTTTAGCCATTCTCCCGTTTCCTGTTTACTGAGAACTGTGATGAATAATGTCCTTCTGCACCAAAGAAATGCATATTTAATACATACTTATACTATCAAGAACAGTATGTGATGCGTTTAAGATGCAAGCAGCACAGTGATAGTGACACAGGGACATAATGATGTGAGAAACATCTCATGAATATCCTCTCTCATTTGGCAAGAGACAATCTTCAAATGAATAATGCTGATGGTATTTTCACGACAGAGAAACCAGAAAATGCTCTCAGGCCCGATGTGGAGGCCCAGCACGTTGATCGTCACAGTTTAAAGCGTCTGCTTGCCCATGTTTAGCTTAGGTAGGAGACGATGTCTTTGCAGTGAAGAGGTCCAGCTGTTGTGTACAGGTGAAACATATCTGACCTGTATTTTCATCTTTCTCCATGTAATGATTTAAAAAGTGCGTTTGGTCCTTTTTGTTTCCAAAGAACTCGCTTATTTTTCCTGTTTTTGAGACGGTAAAAAGCTGATTTCTTTCACAACAATTTATAAAACTGACAAAATTCATTTTCATCATTTAAGACACCAATGTTTATCATAGTTTCTCAGGTCTTTACTTCTTTACTAAATATGTGTTGATAATCTGTAAGTGGTGGGCAGAGCTGACCAGCCGACACGTTGTCATGGACGCACACAAAGCTGTGACCAGACGCCTCTGTGCTCCCCTCCCGCAGGAGAAGTGCCACCAGTACTGGCCCGCAGAGCGCTCCGCCAGGTACCAGTACTTTGTGGTGGATCCCATGGCGGAGTACAACATGCCCCAGTACATCCTGAGAGAGTTCAAAGTCACCGACGCCAGGGTGAGTCGCCTGTGTGTGTGTGTGTGTGTGTGTGTGTGTGTGTGTGTGTGTGTGTGTGTGTGTGTGTGTGTGTGTGTGTGTGTGTGTGTGTGTGTGTGTGTGTGTGTGTGTGTGTGTGTGTGTGTGTGTGTGTGTGTGTGTGTGTGTGTGTGAGAGCACTACTCTCCTGCCTTATCGTTCATCCTTTGATGGTAAATTTGTATCTTCCAGGACGGCCAATCAAGGACAGTTCGTCAGTTCCAGTTCACCGATTGGCCGGAGCAAGGAGTGCCAAAGTCAGGGGAGGGATTCATCGATTTCATTGGCCAGGTGCACAAAACTAAGGAGCAGTTTGGCCAGGACGGGCCAATCACCGTGCACTGCAGGTAAGACCTCCACCAGCAGGTTCTACTTCATGCCTGCTGGGCAATAAGCACGTGGGGGGGGGGTGCTTTATTTTTCACTACATTCGATCTCCAAAAAGCTTGGAAGAAGAAGGCCTGAACCTGTACTTCCAGCTATCCATTTACTGTACTATACAGTTGTTTTACATTTGAATGAGTATGGAGCCAAATCCAGGTCAAAGGTTTTGTTCATTTGAAAAACAACCTGAAAGAAGCTGAAAGTTTTGTTGTTGAAGATTACAAAATACAACAATGTATTCAAAATAAAAATAAGTGGATGAGAAATATTTTGGGGATGAATATAGTTTTGACTCAGCTCAATGTTTTTTTTGAATAAAACATTTTTTTTCCAATCTTCACTTATATATATATATATATTTTGATATTCACTATATTATATTTTTCGGTTGCAGATTTTATATTTTCAGATTCAAATCTTATATTTTCACATTCAAAACTATTTTCACTTCCAAATTTTTTTTTCGCGTTCTGATCTTTTTTTTCACATTCAGACTTATGACCCTGATGTGGCAAAGGGGGCGGGGCATCAACTGGGAGGGGCGTGTCATCATGAGTGACAGAGTCAAAACTATATTCATCCTGAAAATATTTTTTGTCCACTTATTTTTATTTTGAATACATGTTGCATTTTTCAATGTTCAACAACAAAAAACACATTTGTTTTTCAAATGAACAAAACTTTTGGATTTGGCTCCATAAATGAAATACTTTTCATGACTCACTACACTACGACAGTATTATTATACTGTGTTTCCGTCTCTCCGCCCACAGTGCTGGAGTAGGCAGGACCGGCGTGTTCATCACCCTCAGCATCGTTCTGGAGAGGATGCGGTACGAGGGAGTGGTGGACATCTTCCAGACCGTCAAGATGCTGCGCACCCAGAGACCCGCCACGGTTCAGACAGAGGTGAGCCCCCCCCCCCCCCCCCCGTGTTATTCTCTCAACTCCCTCGGTGGCGGCCTCCCCCTCAAAAATCGGCTTCATCAATCTCTTTCTCTCCCTGACATGACATTCGCTCTGCTCCCCCCAGGGACAATACCAGTTCTGCTACCGGGGCAGTCTGGAGTACTCGGAAAGGTTCGATCACTATGCAACATAAACCCGACTGGCCGCCTCTCTCATGCCACATCCCACCTAGTGCACTTTTCTTAGGTCACGAGCGGCCTAAAACAAGGCACTAGGCTGCAATGTGTCTTGTGAAGATTTGTTTGCGACCGAATGCAGAGTGAAGGGGACCCGCCGGCTCAGAAACAGCACCTCTAACTGAGCCATAGCAACCTGCTTGACCAGGGTGTTTCCTCTCACCCTCAGCCCAAACTCACCCGTTGGTCAGTCTGAAGAAGCAACTTCAACCACTGTTCCAATCAGAATACTTGATCAAATCTTGCTTTTCTTTTCCTTTGCTTTTGTAATTGGTTTCAGTGCTTTTGTTTGGGTGTGGAACTGTCTCACCTCGTCCACCGCCAGTGTAGCATCACCAACATGGACACAGGACCCGGCTGCGATATTTAGCCGTCACGAGAAACTTAGATTTGTCTATGTTGAGTACAGGAGGAGCCTTCGTTTCCATCTCGTGGACTGAAGGACTTTTGAGCACCAGAGAAGGGCCAACGGGAGGCTGAGCCCACCGAGCACACAGCATTCAGAAGACCGAGGATATACATCCCAGGAGAAGACACCCAGCTGTGTTCTGTTTCCACTTGTTTAGGGAACGAGAAACAAGCTATTTCTACCATACAGTAATAAAAACCACCGGTTCAACCTTATGCTTCATGTTCTAAGATAAGGGAAGCCTGACAGGGGTTTTACATGCGTAACCACAGAGTAAAACATTCATTTAGTTTTCTAGAGAGATAAATATAGATATGTGACTATGTTGTTGTTGTTTTGTTTCAAACTGGCAATTCTTTATGGCATGTCCTGTTTTTTTTGTTTTAACAGATTCTCGACTCCGTCGCCACTGACAACACAAAGTTGTGTTTTTTACCCGTCTGTGTAACACGATGAGCTGTAGCGTTAAAAGCAGAAAAAAGGTGAAACGGTTTTAAAGTGTAATATCAAACTAGTGTGGAAAATGTTCACAGTTCTATAAACGCCACCGTTGAGTGTCACTCCCGTATCCTCTAAGCCACACACACACACACACACACACACACACACACACACACACACACACACACACACACGCTCCTCGCCGAGTGCGTCTGTGTGCCGGTCGAGCCGAAGGCCGGACGGAAGCACAGAGAGCAAAGTACGTCTATTTATGCCTCCAATGAGCGTCGCGTGGGGGGGGGGGGGTGGGAAGGGGGGGCAGGGGGGCGATGGTGTTGGGACGGCATCGGCGTTCTCACCTGTGACTTCTCTCTCTGTCTGATTCAGTGTGCAATAAGTAGATGTGTGATATATATTTTTGTGTGTTGTCACTAACTGCAGTTTTACGTCATTACGAAGACGACGATATCGACGACGCGTCTTTTTCCAGACACGAAGATGTGACGCAAAGATGTTACAAAACGAGTCTCGTGTCCAAACAGAGGGACGACCTCTGACCTCTTCTCGTGTCACCACTCCAGTAGAGGATGTCATACTTCTGTGTGTCATGGCTACCAAGGGATGATCAAACTCATACTTCAAACAGCATCTAATAAGTATTTTGATTTTAGATTTCTAGTGCCTTATATTACACGCCTATTTTGATAACGTTACTTTAAAGGGTTCTTTTGTGTATTTTCCGTGTGTGTGCTTTTGAACGGAACGGATGTGCATATGATTTCGTTATGTTACAGTACGTTTAGGTATCTTGTGCGTCGTGGCTGTGAATCTTTGTGTGGAAGTTGCACAGTTGGACTCATCACTTTCCCAGCAGCAACGCGGTCACGTCACTTTTAATCAAACAGTCGTGACATCAGACACGGAACTCGTTTGGAACCTGATCATAAGCGGGATGGTCTGATCATTTTGTATGTCGACAGCTTCCTCTCCGTTCCCGGGACGTGTGCACAGGCTTTATGTATTTCACCCGGGCCTCGGTTGGCCCGCCGTCACGTTCTGGCCACTTTGACGCCGCAGCGACTTACTCGGCCGTGTAGAAATGAGGAAGATCTTTTGTCCGTTTGGGGAAAAGCTGAATATGAAAACGCACAGATACCCGAGGCCTCCTCCTGAAGTCACGCTGCTCCTCCGTGTTCCTCATTCTCACGTCAACAGTCCCACCATTTCGTTTCCTTTCTAACAACAAAGGCTGAGAGAAGTTCCGGTGCTACGTCTCCAACTACACAGAAACCATCTCTTCTTTTCTTTTTGTATCTCTGTTGGCGCTTCACCGCGTACGGGGTCGCTGACGGATTCCCACCATCTTACAGTAACCCTGTTGTCGTTTTTTGTATGCATGGTACCACTTTTGAGATGCCCCTTTGGTCGCACCTGTTACGGGAAGACTTGCACTTTCTCTCTTTGTACTATGCACTAATACTAGTATCCTATTATCTGCGATGGCCCCTCCCCTCACAAAGGAGTTTTACTTGAACTCAGTCAAAGTGGACCCTGTAATGCTCACATGGTTGTTCATATGTAAATAACACAAAACACAGAGAGTAATTGAAATGCATAAATAAATCAATGCATAGATAATTAAGGTAAAGAGTGAATAGGAATCAGAGTGATATAATAAAACGATGCACCTGAAATCACAGTTTATGGCACAGCAGTATGTGCAATACGTCACTTTGTGGATTTGTTGTACCACAAAGAAGTTTCACAAAGAAAGTGTTCTATTTTACCCCCTAATGTATAATGTAGATGGATAAAACGAGTTTATAAATTGTATAATAATTAAAATATGGTGTTACTTGGATCGATTACCTTTAATTGGTCTGTAAATGTAAACTTTATTTTGGGGTTTGTTTTCTGCTCTGGGTCAACAAGTGCTTTTTATTTTCCTACATTGGTTCCTGGAGCGTGTGAAAACCGAAAAAACAGGTCTGTATGGATTTCTGTTCTCTGTCGACACAAGTTTCATTTGTTACAAATAAACTCAAGTGAAATAATACTTCTGTCGTTTTGTATAATACTTAGACCAAGCAAAAGATATGAAAATAATTGAAATTTGTATGCAACTATTAACATTATTTTGATAAACAGCAGCTTGTAGTGTCTCGCACAAGTATTCGTTCCCCTGGGATTAATACCGCTTTCCCTATTTTGTGCGGTTACATAGAAATAGACATTTCCCCATTTGATCAACACAACGTGCATTCAAGTACTTTCAAGGTGCAAAACGTCATTTATTGCGACGTGAGTCAATACTTGGTAGAACCGCCTAGCTGAAGCTCGTCACATTGGATGCAGGCCGTCGGTGAACAATCTGATTCTATTTTCCTATAGAATCAGATTGAGGTTCGGGGCACTTAAGAAAAGCAGACTGCATCATATTTTTTCCCAGGGTCCAGGCCCTTTATTTAGCTGCATCCTTCTTTTCTGAATTCTGACTAGTTTCCTGTAGCTGCTGAAGAGAAGCATCCGCACAGCTGGATGCCCCCACCATGTGCTGGGTTTCCTCCACACAACGTTTTGTATTGAGGCCCCATCGGAGCGGAGCACCTGTCTCATGCTGATGTGGGTCCCACGTGGCTTTTGGCAAATCCAAATGGGATTTCTTAGCTTCCAACAGCAGCTTTCTTCTGGCCTTTCTTCCACGAAGGCCACATTAGTGGAGTCCACGGCTGATCGTTGTCCTGTGTACGGATTCCCCCCCTCAGCTGTCTTTGCAGGTCCCGCAGGCCTCTCGGTTTCTGCGGATTCATGTTCTCGTCCGGCTGGACGGCCGTCTCTTGGTAGGTTGTCCCACCGTCTTTCCAGGTTTTGTGAAATGTTCAAAGCTTGGGCTATTATTTTTATTACTTTGCTCCAAGGAGATCAAACACAACTTGTGCCGCAGACAATTAACCTCCTACCTTTCCTCTGCTCCTTAGACAAAGCGAAAGAGATTTATATATAATTATTTATTAGACTAGAGCTGCATAATCATCATCTACAGACTAGCAGTTGAAAGGAAGGCCAAAACGTCATGAAAAAAAACACTTTTATTGTTTTCATTACAGCAGTTAGCAATAGTTTAACTATGGCAAGCCAAAAATAAATACAAATTTTAAATAATTTCGACAATGTTTCATTCATTGGAACGACAGTAGCATTTCACGAGTCCAACACAAAGTTGTGGCTTCCTGCCTGAATCTTTCACCTTAGGAGGGGATTGACATGATTGATATTTGGTTTCTCTTAAACTCAGCAAAAATTAATTTTTTCAATAACAAGTTACATAATTACTACATTTCGTCCATGTGGGTGAAGGAAGCGAGGAAGCCATCGTAGTGTCATTGGACTCCAGCAGGAGCAGTCAGGACATAATGTGGAACATGCGGTGACCAACAGTAAGACAGGAGGGGAACAGACTAAAGCAAAGTGCATAAACATTCTAACTCAGTTCTGAAAATAGCACAGCCCCCCCCCCCAAAAAAAGCTACCGTGGGCGAGCCATTTAGAAAAATCTCCCCTTTGAATATTTTCATGTACAAAGAAAAAAAGTTTGTCGTTTAAAAAAAAAAAGAAAAGGTTGCGTTTATTTTCCCTGATGTGACGGCACGAGGCGACGCTCTCCTCGCCGGCCAATCACAATCGCTGTATGACGTACCCATGACGTCATCCCTCAGACCCCACTCGCCCCATTCCACCAGCAGCCACGTGGGGATCGGACAACACGCACGCAGACGCACACATCCACTGCTTCGCCCAGACTTCAATTCCCCTTGTGGCCGCGCTGCTCCCACGAGCTCTTGGCCGCCCCGCGGAGGCCCGGCAGGGCCACGTAGTCCTTCTGGAAGCGGGAATTGGGGGTTCTCTGCCGCTTCCTCTCGCCCTGCGTGGTGAAGAAGGCGTCCTGGAAACGCATGCTTGAGGCGCTGGACTGAAAAATGAGCCACGAGAAGAAGAGAAAATGAGTAAACAGGAACACGGGAGGGAAAGAGAAACATATGGTTTCCGTGTGGCCCTGTAAGTTTAATACTTACAAGTCTACGTTTCACCTTTTTAGGCAGGTCTTCCTCTACAGTGTAGACGTCTTCTCTTTTTGCCAGAACCTGAGACCCGTCCTCAAACTCCACCTGAGAAGACATCAACAGCTCTTATTTAAACAGTTCATTTATGAAAAAAATAAATAGAAAAGGCACTTATGGTACTAAATTAGATGCTTTTCTAACTAAATTGTGTATATATTATATATATATATATTATATTTGTAAATAAGCTCCTAAAAAGAGGCAAGAAACCAAGATCTTCCGGATTTGTTGATTCATCATAAATTACAAAGAAAACAGATCTAAATGAAACACGATCAGCGTTGACGGATTAAACAAATGTTTTCTGCTGAAGAAATGAAGCCTCAAAGTATTTCCCATCTGCACACACCTTCACAATGGAAAGTTCGGACCCTCCTCAGGCCGGCGGTCTGCGTCACAGATGCATTTGTGCATCACTAATAACGACGCGCAGCTCGACTGAATAAAGCTTTAAGTGGAAGCCGCAGGACTTGGCTTGGTGAATATTTCATTTAGTTTGAATAATGCAGATTGTCACCTCCTTCTCATCCTCCTCTTCTCCACGTGAACAGCCCTCCCCCTCGCCCTTCATCCTCCCATCTCTCCCCCACATCCCCCCCTTTGCCTACGCCAGAGGAGTCACGAGAGCGCTGATGCTGCCGCGAGCTCACCGACGTCTCGCTTTGACCCCCCGACGGGGATTATTATTATTATTCAACATCCACCCCAAAAAGTGATTACACCTGCAAAAGAATACATGTGTGCGTGTCCCTGGCGTGCAGTCAGCGCGTTGGCATGTACCTGATACATGTGCGATACGTTGGATCCCAGGTATTTGGCCCCGTAGAACAGCCCGTCGGGCCACTTCACCTGAACAGCTTCCCCCACTTCTGGAGGCCCCAAGTCCATGCAGTCTCTGCTCTAAAGACACAAGAGGAGGCCGGTTGGTCTGATCGCAGCGTGCGCGTTGTGTGTGTGCGTGTTGTCCGTTCGGTTGGTTCATGGAGAACATCGATTAATGGCCTTTTTCAGGACCTGCTGCGACACGTAACAGTCACACAGGGTTCAGCCTGCTAGGACTCGCCATGAAAAGAGCTTTGCAGTATTTCTTAAATGCAGCAACATTGTCTCTGGTTAGAAGAATTCAAAATTTGCATCTACAACATGGTCCCAAATGCTTTTCAATTGTGAATTAAAGAGGAGCAATTCACAGACCTGATCAGTTAATGCCCTCACTGACACATGGACACATACGTGTGCCACAGCTATTCTCATCAGTGCTGAGCTCACCACGAGGGACCGGCCCGCTCCCATAACGACTCAAACAAATCAATGCATTTCAGCTCAATCCCGTTACGTTTCATATCCTATTCAGAGTTTAGTGAGAAAACAATTGAAAATGAGTCTAGTTGGTTGGACTGTGCAGCACATTTAGAGGTAATCCCTCATGCGATGACCGCCGGAGAACCAATAATCCCTCTAGACCAGAAGGACGGAGACGGGTCGTAATATCCGACCTCGAATTGAAACACATCCTCACCACTATATCCTCGGGGTAGGTATCGTTGGAGAAGGAGCCGTCATCGAACATGACCTCGTAGAAGGTCTGGGAGGTCACCTGGGTGACCTTTGAGCTGTAGTAGCGCAGGTTCTTGTGCTTGCAGATTACCGTCTGGCCCAGTGAGACCGGCGCTTGGCACGCGCGCTGCTTCTGGTGGAGACGGAGAGCAGCAATTAGTCAATGTGCATGTTCACGTCCCTGCACTCAATCACCTTTCACTCCACGTGCATTTATTTTTTTGGAAATATGTGACCACCATTAGCACCTCTACTACACCGCGGGGGCGTCACCAGTCATCTGGGGTCTATGAAATACAACCAATTATCTCTAGTAATCACTTTTTCTTAAAATGACAAGTGAAGCTTGATCTGAAAAGAGAAAACCCGTTTCCTTTCTAGCGGAGCACCACCCGGTCTCATGGCAGCTGGAGGAAACAAACGCCCTAAAACTTACAGCCGCCGAGCTCCGTGATTGATGTCTATGGCAGGTGATTGACACCACATACGGCCAATCATCCGGCTCCATGATCACGCCGGCAGCATGGGCACAGGTCACGTGAAAGGAGGTGGGACACCGGCCACATGAGCACTGGACACAAGCGCCGGGCCGCCGCTTCCCCGAGCCGCGCGCACCACAATAGATGCACTTCTGTGAACACAGAGCAGAGCAGACAGTCAGCACGGGGCCACACACAGGTCACACATGGCCTCCTCAAAGAATCTCCTTTTGTAGACAGATTCCAGCTGTGAATATAAGAAATTCAAAAATAATTCTCTGGTAAATATTTTCCATATTCATGGCGGGTACGAACAAAGCGAACACAGCGTGCAACAGAGTGAAGGTCACTAAGATTAAAAGGGAAAACAGTTCATCAAGGAACGACTGGTCTCTAGTTAACAGAAATTGGTAAATTACTGTTTTCAGGCTCTTTCACAGGATTTGTTAATCAATCCGTAGATTGATTAACAAGCTGCGCGCCTCACTTGGGGAAGAGACGGGGTCATTATGTGTAAGGCACATTGCTCACCTAAAATAAAATACATACATTTAAATGTTGGTTAATTGCGTTGTAGTTCATACATACAGAACAGTTGAATTTAATTTAACAAAACCCAGCTGAAAGTGAGCGCCTCCTTCTGTCGCATCTTCTCCTTCCATCCCAGCTTTCCTCTCACGAGCTACATCAACCATTGAGGCTGTTTGCAGTGATGAAAACCTGCCCATCCTTCTTACGTGTGGCCTTAAAGTCTGTATTTCCACTTGACGTTGAATACAGGTTTAAGAAGCAGTAAAGACAAAAGGCCTCCAATTGGCCCGTGAACGTAACATTTAAAACCATTACAGGCCCCAAATGATGAGCGCATTAGTGAGGCCCCCTCGAAGCGTCGTTATGGATACGGTGGTGTAAACAAACCATTGATGACAACAAAATGAACAGAAACACGCGACAATTCAAGCAAGGCCCCAAATAGACCATGTGACGATGACATCATCAGGTTTCCACAAGAGAAGGCAGTGCGGCAGAGCCTATGCTGTGGAACCCCCCCTCCACCCCACATGAGGTCTGTTAGCTGCACAACAGCGGGCGCAGCAGACATCCACGCACGCACAAACAAACCCGCATTCTTTTGGTGTTGTGCAAGTTCATTTTCTGTGGCATCCCCCCCCCCCCCTCCAAAAACCCCTCTGCTCTCCCGCTAAAGGGAAAGAATGACGGCATACTCCCATTATAACCCTTTTCTCCCTCCGTTCCTCGCTCACCCTTCTCGCATCCCTCCCGTCTCACTCCATTTCCTCCACTCTCCTCCTAATAAAACATCCATCTGCGCGCTCTCTTTTTCCGCTTCTCTGCCCCGTCTTCCTGTGCGATATTCACATCGCTTTGAAAGGGGTCATTTATTCATTAATCGGATTCCTGTGAATCCATAAATACGGATTATATGCCTATAAAGAGGTAAAGTGGGCTCAACTGTGCGAGGACAAACAGCACAGCACCAGATCGGTGAGAAGGAACAACTTTCTTTGTTCATTTCTTTGAAAAACCATTAGCTGACCTAATGAGTTGACCTGGGCGACATTAATCCAGCTGACCTGTGCAGCGCGGCTGCCTCATCGAATGCAGGAGTCAGCTGAGGATCGCCTTTGAGAAGATCTTAGATTTAAAGCCCTTTTCCCATTCCTCCTCCATCATCATGAGAGCAGTGTGCTGCACCGTCTCCTCCACCTATCGAGATTCTGAACGCCGTGCGAGACCCCTTGTGTAGGCAGAGGGACCTGTGCGTTTGTAAAGAAGTCCCTCTATTGGCGGAAAAATGTATTCGTGTGAAAACGGGTCATTTAAAAGTGCTGCACGCGGCTTGACGTTTCGGTGTGAGGGAGTTTGTGGGAACGTCAGAGTCTAACCTACTTCTCCCCATGCCTGTGTCTTCTCTGGGGTGTATTTGGGCGCCTGTGTTGAGCCATGCGTGAAGAACATTCCCACAGTAAATAATGCATGTGTGAGCGCGTGATAGTAAATTATAAATGCATTGGGCTGCTGCTGCAGGGGCAACGGGTCCGATGCAAGCACGTGGCGCACGGAGCCAACCTACACATGATGCATCGCACAGGAGAGAAAAGGCATCACAGCAATAATCTCAACACGTGTGTATTGTACCGAACGTTTTAACATGATGGTTAAAACTGTTTCTTAATAATTCAAAAAGGTAATTTCAAAGAGGGGCCATCTGTTTCAGCATCAGCATCCTCTCAGAAAGCGCTGCTGTCAGCATTTTAATTAGTGCAAACATTGTGCGTCATCACAAAGTGTGAGAAAAACTTGATGTGGTCCGATCAGATGCAGGTTCCAAAAGGGAAGAAGCGGCGTACACTTATTCATCAAAAGAGTCTTCAGCGTCGCCCGCTGCGAGCGGCACTGCGACCGAATGAACAGCTTCCAACAGCTAAAGAAGGAAAGCACCGTTTCCATGAAGTAAAACAAACCAGATCATAACGAGATCTGAAAGATGCAACCATCATCGGGGGAATGTCCCGTGCTTTTTGGCATCTGGATATAAATACTGACACTTTGTGGGCCGTGTTGTCATTAACTTCAATGTGCTGTGAGCTCAGTAAACGCCGCGTGCGGTGGCTAACGTCCCCGTGTCCATAAAGTCAGGGCCCCATTTAGGGCCGTAGTGTCCCTGCAACTGTTAGTTCTGTTATGGTGGACACGGCTGAACGTAACTTGGTGGAGTTCACACAGGAAGATCCACTCGCCTTCCATCAGTGAAAAGGTTCAACAGACTCACTTTGCATCTCGTGTTAACCAGAGACGTGTTCGGTTTATTGGAAACGTTCACTCCGCATGAGGAAAAAGCATGTCGACACATTGCCGAAGACTAAAGTAGCCGACTAAAACAATTAGTAATTAAGAGGAGGCCGACCGCTCAATCAATACTGTTGAAAGATCAAGACATTGACCTAATATTTGGTTCTTTAGAATACCACGAGTATGAAACCACTACTGTTGTCTTTGGAAATCATCTTCTTCCATTTCTAGCTTTGGAAACTAGTCCGTTAATAACGCAAATTGTGCTTTTAATCCAATCAGTTAAGTTTCTGCTGGAAAAGTGACAGAAGTGAGAATCGCTGTGCGTCCATTTTTCTTTCTGCTGAGCGAACACGGCGCCTGCAGCAGAGAGCCGAGTACAGAGGCAACATGTCACACACACACACACACACACGGTTAATTATCTAGGTTTGATGTTCGTCTCACATTGTTAATTAGAACTGGGAACACTTCATTAATTAGACTGAGCCAGTCCTCAAGGACCAGGGGAATTCCAGTGCAGCATCAGAGAGAGTGTGTGTGTCCTCACCAGTTTATACCGCTGCATGGGGATCCCACTGGTGTCGATGGGACTCCTCTTGGCTTCGTTGCTGAACCGTGCCTCTGGCAGTGCTACGGCACACATGACGTGGGCCCATCTGTACACACACACACACACACACACACACACACACACACACACAGTTTGATGATTAAGACGATTCCTCCGCCTGAGCTCACAGACGAGTATCCAGAGCTAATCAGAACAAAACCCGGTCTCACTTGTCGCTTTGGGTTTTCTTCAGAGCTCCACCTCTGAGGTTACACAGACAGCATTCCTAAAGAAATCATTTAAAAAAAAAAAAAAGCAAGTATGAGAGAAAGATCTTTTTCTCCTCCGCACCAATACCATTACAAACTGCCTCGTGTGGTCCAATTAAATTCATTGGAAATCTGCAGAGTGGTTTTATTTGTAAATGTTGCTGTGTAATGCGCTCGTCATTATACGTGATAATGATGATAAAACAAGTCTGCGGGTGAAAGACGTCACACAAGGACTTACTGCCGTAAAGCTTCCTTCCGCACAGCGGTCGCACGACCACTGCTCGCTGAGATCGGCCGCAGCAACACCGTAGCAACCTAGAGGAGGAAGTGGTAGATGGGGGGGGGAAATAATATTAAATATCACACCCACTCAGATGCTGCTGAACCGCTTCACTCTAACCCGGTGGCCTCTTTCCAAGCCGCCATTCACAGAAAGCAGCCGAATGCGACGTCTGTGGTCGCGTACGAAGAACACACCAGAACGCCGTTTCCACGGACGTCCGCCTGGTTGCACGCAGGCTTCTGTCCGTGTGGCTGACCAGGTTCAGACGGAGAGCCGGGTCATAAGTCTGTGAAGGGGAGCGGTCGTGGCAGAGAAACAAATGCAGAGCCTTTGTTTCTAAATGCATGTTTTGTGTTTGTCCATCTGCGCATCAAAAGAGCCCTTTGCAGACAGCCAGACCTGCTGGGGGGGCCGGGGGGCCGGGAAGGAAGCAACCCGGATGACACGGCTGACAGACGCCGCAAAACATGAAGCATGAAATTCAGCCGCTTTGAGTAAATATTGTTGTTTTGCTGAGTTTAGTTGGGTGTCCTTGGTCCCGCGGAACGGCAGACGGGTTCGATGGAAAGATGAATGCCGGTGGCTCCCGGCAGAAAGACATTTGGGAATCTAAAAGTAAGACAAATGAGTCTCTTTTCAAAGCTGACAGCTGGTTAAAATTCAGTCTTCCAGATTTTAGCTGCTTGGAATTTTTATATGCAAGAAACACTTAAAAGTCTGTGTTCTTCATTCTTTCCCCCGAACTATCCATCACCAAACATCAAATCCAAGCTCACCTATATTTCCGTTCCCGAGTTCAAATAACAGTGCAGGAGGGAAGGAAAACAACATCAACTTGTACTTATTGTAGATTCTCTAAACCAGCGGTTCCTAAACTCAAGAACGCCGCGGCCCACTTTGAAATCTGAAAATCTTTGGCGGCCCACCCAAACCTTTAATCACAAGTCTGATCAAAACATAATGATTAAATGACCTTAAGAATTTAACCAAACTCAAACATCCGCGAGCAAAAGTCCGTCTCGCGAGGTATTTGCTCGCTTGAAACGTGAGCGTCGCTGCTCGCGAGGAGAATCTCTGCTCGCGCTGGAAGGAGTTTTCTGCGCGCTCGCTGTTGTTCTTTCTGACAGGGAGGTGGAGACGGTGCTTTCAGGGTCCGATCGATGCCGCGAGGTGCGTCCGCTCCCGCCGCCCCCCTCGCCATCCACGCCTTAAATCTTTTAGAATAACTTATTTCCCCGTTAAAATGGTTCGGCTACTGTAGAGAAAAGGGCGCCGTCTCTCGCTCTTTAATCTCATGAAGTGAAGAACGACAGCTTTGTTTCTCCGACGCGCCCTGAAAGCAGCTCCGTATCTCACGCGCTTGAGCGCCGCTCAGCATCTCGCCGTCAGAGCGCCTTGAGCACCGTGTACAACCAGTATGGATCAACCGATTAACCAATTGATCCATGTGTATATAAGGCACTCCGGATTATAAGGCACTGACGTTTATTGAGGAAGTTAAAGCCTTTTAAGTGCGCCTTGGAGTGTGGAAAACGCGGTATATTGACTTTAATACCACAAGAGGGCGCCGCGTTTGTTGAACAACGACAGGCGGACAAGAGCAGCAGTTTCCAGCGAGAGCCTTATTGTTTTATTAATCTGTCCGTTTAAATTGTTTGTGCTTCATCAACTAATGTTTCACATAACTAATGTGCCGCATCATAAATACATTTTATATTAATTTAATATAAAAAACTTTATTTATTGTAAATGACCTCTCGCGGCCCACCTGCAGTACCTTCGCCCACACTTTGGGAATCGCTGCTCTAAACCAAACGTGTGGCTTTTCCATCAGTGTCAAATGACTCGCACCCCCCCACTCAGTCTACATATACACACACATGCACCCGGCCACACACACCTACAACAACACTAGTAAAGCTGTGGATTTGGACAGCGTGTGATATGTGTGTGTACGTCTGGCTGTGGAAGACCAGCTGAGCGCTTAAGATATTGGTAAAAACATTGAAGGATTTGGAACGAGACCTACGGTTCTTAAATTGTGTGTATGGGGGATTGAGATAACGTGTCCAGTGCGACAGAGGTTCCAGTTCTATTCCCTCATTGAGTCCGTGTGTGTGTGAGTATGCGTGGTCTTCTGGCTCGGGGATTTTGCACAGGAAGTATGTGTGGTGAAGACAGAGGATTCGCCGACATTTGGCCGACGAGGGAAACAAAATACTCCAAACCGCACAGCGGGGGGGGGCACACGGAGGGAGGAGAGGGGGTGGAACATTGAGACAGAGCCAGGGCTTAAACCCACTGACCCTCTTACAACGACATGACAAAACACCACATCTAGAAACAAACAATGTGGCTTGGTGAGCTAGAAGGTAAAACTACACCACAAGCAGCAGTATCCACACACACACGCACACACACACACACACACACACACACACACACACACGCCGTCGTGCATACGTACTTGCATGGACTTGCAGGCAACAGCCCTGGCAGTAGAGCAGAGGGGAGGTGCCGTCTTCCTGCAGCAGCGGGTTGGTGGGAGTTGGGGGAAAGTTCTGCTCCCGGAAAGAGAAGCAGATCTCGGGGACCAGAGGGCGAGTCCGCCTCAGACCTCTGCAGGGCCGCGCGGGGCCCTCCGACGGAGAGGAGGAGCCCTTCGCTACGGTAGCTGCGCCGTCTTCTGCCTGAATAAACAACTCAATTTTAACAAATACGTTCTTCAGAACCTCCTTAACTAAGGTGGAAAAGTATCTTCATAATTAAAGTCATTCTGGATGGATTTTCAGCCCGGGGGGATTTACAGGAGCTGCTTTTTGTATTAAAACAATGATATGCTGCAAGAAAGCCACGTGACTGTCATCCCCAGAGGGCTTCCAATGAATTCATTTCACTTCTAGAATTAGTGGTAATCATTTAGCCGTCATTAAGTTATTTGCGCAGACACTGGCAAACTAATTAAACGGCTCTTTTCGAGACAACGCTTCCACAACTATCAGTGTCACACACACACACAGCTCTGTGCACCTCAAACCGGCTATAAAATAAAAGGTCCATTGGCAAAGACAATATCACCTCTAACGTGACATTACAAGAGCGTGTTTGATTCACTTGCAGGTATAAACTTGTTGCATCATCATAGGAGTTGACTGATGTCAGAGATCTATTGGATCCCTCTGTGACATGTGATTTCTTTCCAGTTGTGACACTATTCACTCAGCTGATGAAACGGTGTTACAGTAACAGCTTTAATCAGAACTTCATGTGAAAAAGTCCTTAAACATAATTGTGTCAAAAAATATTTCTACTTCTGCCATTTTCTACGGGAGGAAAATTCTGATTAAAACTGTTCTAGTCACTGATCAGCGCAGGTAAAACTGAAACCTGCCCACCTCACCAGCATTTTAGCTGGTTTGAGTTTTGACCCTCTGTGGGGCTCAACACATGAGACAAGCATCCAGCGAGGCCTCTGCTCTACCTGCTCATAAGGGCTGAACAGTGTGCACACGGCACAGTGCGGCCGCATGGTGGCTGCATGGGCATTGAACTCCCTCTCCGCCGTGAAGCAGCTCTTCCTGTTCTGCCACAGGTAGATGAGGGGTTTCGCCCACGCCTCCATTTCCTCCCCCTCCTCTCCCTCCTCGTCCTCGTCGTCGTCCCCCTCCTCCTCCTCGTCGTCCTCTTCCAGGCTTGCGTCAGGGGGCTCTAAGTGGAGACACAACAAAGCCTTACAACCACTAATCTATTCAACGGTTTTCCCCACTACGCCCTAGCTGATGATTCGGCCCATACAGAGCCACTCCTGGTCTGGTAGTTTGTTCTTTAAGCCAGTTCGGACTCACTACGGAAATCTGCATCATTAACAGACTTGCTGCCAGGTTTTGATCTAATCCCTCAACAGTGGTGACAACTTCCCCCCAGTGACCTGAAACACCGTCGCAAAGAAGTGAAGCCTGTGTGCTGAGAACAAAATAACTAAAATGATTAAGAGCTCTCATCATCATAAAATCGGCTTCTCACAGCCGCGGTAATTTCTCCGGGATAAACAAATAAAATGGCTGCTGAATTATTCATCTGTTTTCACAGCCATGCAGATGATGAATTCCATGGTGTGTGTGCGTGTGTGTGTGCATTAGCAGTTGTTAATTGAGGGCCCTGCCTCCCACCATGTGAGGACCAGGAAAACAAGCAGCAGCACAGGGGCATTTCACTGTGGTGGGCCTGAGAGTTAGTTTGGTTTGGTTTGACGTCAGACCGACTAGAGGGGACTGTGGGGGGGCGGCCCATTGTCTCACTAGCCACTACTTCTCAACAGAGCAGTGTGTGTATATAAAGTACAATCGGGTTTGGCCTCTGCATTGTGGTTCACTGCAACGCGACCAGCCGAAGTCACATGATCGCGCTCTCTTGGCCCGGTGCCATCCGCCCGTGCAGCGCCAACGCGAGCACGGCTCTCCTGCGCGTGCACGCGCCCCTGTGTGAGTGACTGGGGGTTTTCTGCTTTTAGCAGTAGCTCTCAGTGAACTGTGTGTGGGTGAGTGAGTTCCCACCGTCGTCACTGGCAGCCTGCTGCTTGACGGCAGTGGGCACGGCCCTCGCGGTGGGCTTCCTGAGTGGGTGGCGCCGGCTCTTAGTCGTCCTCTTCACTGACAGCGCAGCGTACTGGCGTGAACAGGCGCAATTAAAAAGCATTAAGAATTGAAACTAATCTGTAGTTGTATGAAAAAGAATGTGTGTAATAAAGAGCACTCACGGCACAAACCTCCCCAGGTTCCAGGCCCGATTCTTCGCACTCGCAGTTGCTCGTGTCGTTTTCCTCCTCCTCGTTGTTGGAGGAGTCACTACTGCTCTCTCCCTCGACCCCACCTCGGTGCTCCGCCTCGTCCACGTCAGACCCCCCTTCTTCCATATCAGACACACCGTCCCGTTGTCTCCTTCCCGTCCCGAGGGGCGAAACGGCAGATCCCGAGTGCCGGCTCTGCTCCGCCTCCCTTTGCGCGCCGAGCTCCCTGCACAGGGAAAGGGCCTCGGACCCCTCCGCTTCCCCTCTGTGGAGGTCAAAATCCCCACAAAGCCCCGGGGGCTCGACGGCACCGACTGAAACCAGCGAGGTGGGCTCGAGCTGGGCCCAGGTGAGAGGCACGCCTCCGTCTTCCCGGCTCCCCGACTGGCAGAAGGCGTGCTCGGCGTCCTCCAGGTCCGTGACCTCCTTGCACCGCGGTTCGGTCCACATGGTGTAAGGCAAGGGGTCGTGGCTGAAGCCGGAGGGGAGCTCCGGGTGCAGACTCTGGATGAGCACTGCGGGACCCTGGGAATTGAAGTTCTTCCAGATGCTGCTGGAGAAGGGTTTGGGCTCCGTGTACGGGTTCTCCGAAGTACAATGCAAAGGGGAGTAGGCGGCGTGGTGTCGTGATGCCAGGTGACCGTCACTCTGAGTGCATAATGGAGAGGAGGAGGAGGAGGAGGCGGCGGCGTTATTGCTTGAGGGGCCATTTAAAAGGAAGCCACAGCTGCTCAGACCGGATGCAGCGGGCCGGCGGGACGAAGCCTCGTCCACATTTCCCAGCTTTGGACGGCCCTTTTCTGCAGCAAATGCTGGCTCACGGATACCGCCAGAGGGCGTTTTGTGCGGCGCGTTGGCGGTTGAATGGGCCGTTTTCCCTTCTGAACCCGACACTGCCGCCCCATCGGAGTCATGTGGGGAACCTAAACGCCGCCGGCCGGCGTGCCCTGCGGTCAGAGGTTGGTTTGACATCACGGAGCCGGCTTCCTCCTGCCGCTCCGCTCGGCGTGAGGAGGGACAGCTGGCCGACGTTTCCCGCTGAAGCACCGGCGCCACCTGGTGGCCACGCGGGCGCGGCTTCGGGGCGGCGGGGAGCGCGTCGTCGGCCGGGGTGAGCGACGGCATCTCCTGGATCAGCACGGGGGGCAACGGGGAGATGCCGACCTTATCTGCCGGTTCCAGAGTGAGTCGGGGCATATCCACTGCATTCCTTTGTAGCAGAGGGGGGGGGAGGTTCTCCTCGGTTTTCTCCAAACTGCGACCGTGCCCCGAAGGGGAGAGGGAGCCACATGCCGTGTAACTACCGCCCTCCACGGATGCTTCTGTAGCGCGGTGTGGATTTATGTGTAGCGTGTGACCGACTGGGTCTGTGGTCTGTGCCTTAGCACTGCCGTTAGCGTCGCTCTCAGCGCCAGTCTTTGTGCTGCAGTCGGTGTTTGGCGTCCGGCTTGAAGCCTCTGCTCCACGCGGGGAGCTAGATGGCGGAGCTCGGAGGTCGGCGGGACGCGAGCTCACCCAACCTGCCGCGGCGGAGGAGCCCGTTGTGTGGGACGGTGAGCGCAGTGTGCCGGCCTCCGGGGGAGAGACCCCGGCAGAGCAGTCCTGAGAGGTGCAGAGGTCTCGCCGTTCAGGAGAGCAGCACCGGGGCTCGTTATTTTTCGGCTGCGTCCGTGCGAGACCTTCAGGAGTCGCGACCCCTGACCCTGAGCGGCGTAGAGGGTCGTCGCGTGCGCCCGTCTCCGCCTTTAGGTCCTTTGTCAGTGCTGAAGCAGGGGAGGCACCGGAGAGGCAGCGGGAGTCATGGGACGGCTCCGTATTCAAAAGTCCCAAACTATTACTCTCTACGCGATTTACCTTGACCACACACATCTGTCTGCAAGGACCTGCCAGAGATAACAGGATGGATTCACCAAGTAAGCAAGGAGACATATCCAACAAGGAGAAAAGGAAAACAGGCATGCAGACCAGCTGTGTCAATCCCACACGAGCGCCGACTACCGTCTCTTACCAGAGAGGTGAGCCGATGAGTGATTCGGGGTGTGCTTGGACTGCGCTTCCCTTTTCTTCTCTTTCTCCTCCTCTTCCCTGCAGCTTGTCCCCGCCACAGTCCTTCGCACCTTGGGCCCGGCCGGACCGCTGAGGGCTTTCCTCTTGGTGCCGGTCAAACCCGAGCTGCCATCCAGGCCGATGGGCTGCGCGCTGGTTCTGAGGCGTTTGGAGCGCATTCGAGAGTGTGTGCAGCTGAGAGAGAGATCACAGGGGTTGGAGGATAAAACGAATTAACGCAAATTAAGAAGTAAATGAAAGCAAATACATGTTGGGACTTATAAGACAACGGCATTTTGCTTTGACGGCTGTCCCAAACATTAACGGCATTGAGTGTGTGACAGTTACATTATTTCATCACTATGAACCCCGGCAGCACCATTGGCTGCAGCAGACTTCTCCTTCACGGCACGTCTGAGGGAACGGAAGACGGCGTACCTTTTGTTGGCAGGTTTGGTTTTGCGCCGACTCTGCAACCAGCTCTGCAGCTCCGGCGTTGTGCTGGGAGTGGCGAGTATGTGGTCGGGCGGGGCCGAGTCTTTGCCCGCCATCCAGTTAGCGTAGCGGTCGGGATGAAAGCGCTTCACGAAGGGTTCCATGGAGATCTTCACCATGTCCTTGCTACACGTGCACTAGAGGAGAAGGGAGCAGGAGGACAGACTGTCTAGCGTGGCTCATTTCTATAACATTGTTCGTCCAGTGACTTTAACACTCCTTTGGAAGGAAGGACAGTCAGCTGCGTGCTACCTGTGTGGCTACTTTGCCGTAGTCGATCCAGCGCACTGTGGCAAAGTTGGTGGACTCTGCACAGTTGAAGCCATGATTGAAGCCGGCGTGGTACCCGTAAGGGAAGGTGATCATGAACTCTCCAGGTTCTTGAGTAATCTGGCATAAAGTGACGATAAGGGAGAAATGTTGAATGTTGCTTTTTGAGAAAGTATAAAAGGACAGAAATGTTCACATAAGAGAATAAATAAACCATTGCAGGTTTCAGTGGATACAAACCCTGCTCATTTTACTAGGAAGAAGATGTGTTAAATAACGGGGCCCAAAGAGGAACGAAGGAGCTGTGAGCCTACCTTATCAAAGGGAATGCCGTACTTCTTAAGTATGGACGGGGAGATTAGAGTCATCTTGTGACGAAGAAAAGCCTCACAGCCCTTGAAGCTGTTAGGAAAGAAACCTGAAAGATGTGCACATGAACAGAAAGAGGAAAAGAAAATGCATGAATGAAAAGCCAGACTAAAAAAGCCACGTTAAAGCTGAATGTTGAGCCTAGAACACTTTTAACCTTACGGCCTGCAGTTCGGTCTTGTTTTACCAGAAGTATAGTTTAAGTTCTGTATAATAACAGAACATTTACTATAAAGTAAATCAACAAATTTGATTATTAAATCACCAGGAATATGACAATATCAATCAAAAGTTACCACTAAATCAATATCAAATTGCTTGTTGCGTCTGACAAGACAACCGAAATGGAATGACCCAATAAATGACTGAAACAATGAAGCGTCAACTATCGGTTTTATCCAGGCTTGGTTGCAGATGATTTACTACTACGGTTACCGAAGTAATCGGCATCGCAATCTCACACCCAATAGCCTCATTTTCCATTTCAACAACGATGTCAGAGTGCATTTAGTCTCCTCATACTTTACAGTGTGGATTTTACTAAAGTGGCTCGTTAATACATCAATTTACATCTCTACTCGCAGCACTTTTTTTGGTGCATGTTTGCAGTTGGAGCTCATTAACATTCAGCATCTCTGCTGTAACTTTCCCCCCCTCACTGCAAAGTTTAATTTATGTGCTGGGCTCTGTTGTTTAATGCACACCTGCCTCTGTATACATTATTTAATCACCTCTTGCTTCTCCATTCACACAAAGAGAATACAAATGACGCTTTTACCGGTGGCCAGGCGCTCCAGTCTCTTCCCGTGCTCGGGGGGGATGGCGTACCTGTAGGAGACGGGATGTGGAGCAGACTGAATTATTTCTGTGTACCACGCATCGTAGTGGCGGCGTGACAAACACACCGCGGCACCCACGGACACTCCAACGCGTCGAGAGGAGCCGCTGCAGTTTCAAGACTGCCATCAAGTGGCGGATAAATGAACATCTGTAAAGGAGGCCGTGGAGCCTTTCCAGCAGTGCATCCTCGATTGGTGGATCAAAGGGTCATGTATATTGAAGTAGATCGAAGTGTATTCTTAAACATTTAGAAGTCTAACTACCCGCTCTTTCGTTTCTTCAATACTGTTTTTTAAAAGCCTCGTTCCCCCTCTGACACGGGGGAAGAGTTGCATTTCATCCTTATCCTGCATTTTCTCGCACCACTCTGCAGACGCTGTTCTAGTAGAAAACTGTTCCCAAAGTTCCCGGGAGAGAAACCCGGGGAGGCTGACAGAATTCCGCCAAAGGTTTGATTCTGTTTGACTACCAGCACCCGACGACGGGTCTGTGGCTTTTCTTTCCATCATCGTATCACCCGTCAGCTTAAAAGCGCAGTGACAGACAGGATGAGCGGGAGAGGCATCCTCAGGTGGAGATGACATGCAGAATACAAGAGGGGTCGGGGATTGAGTGGAGGTGAGAGAGGTGCATCTTTAAGCCCGCCCCCCCCCAGGGACGAGATGTCAAAATAGCAGCAGGATGAAAGAGTGTGCATGTGCTGGATGATAAAGGTATGCAGGTGTGTGTCACTGTCTGGCTGTGACACTGATCCCTGTGGGGTTGCGGGACTCACTGCTCTAATAAGCAGAACTCCCTCCAGGGCGAGTGAGAGAGAGAGAAAGCGGAGCAGACATGAAATAAAAAGCAAACTCCATTTTTCATCTACCTGCATTCTTCATCTCTTCAGTCACTTGAAGGTAACTAAAGCAAAGCTCCCATTCTACATGATAAATGCAAACCCTCGCGATTACAACTGTGCAGTACATTTACACTCAGTAAACCTGTTCAATCGCTCATTAACATGCTCAGCCAATCACATGGACACAACTCAATGCATTTAGAAGTGATCAGGATCACGTGCTTAAGTTCAAACAGAGCGTCAGAACGGGGAATTTAGTGACTGGCGTGGTAGCTGGAACCCTGACAAAGATGCACTGCAGCTCCACTCTGTCAGCCGAGAACAGGAAACTCAGACTACAATTCACAGAGCCCAAAAGAGGACAACAGAATAGAAGAAGGGGTCTGACGAGTCTCCATCAGATGGTCGGAACGTGGCGTAGACAACAATGAAAGCATGGATCCATCCTGCTTTGTATCAACCGCTCACGCTGGTGGTGGTGTAATAGTGTGGGGGGGGGGGGGGGGTTTCTTGCCACACTTTGGGTTTCAGTGCTGCAGCGTGTTGTCGGTGACCGCGTCCAACCCTTCATAACCACAGCGTACCATCGTCTGATGGCTGCTTAATTCTACGTGGTATACTTTCAACGAGGTGTTGGAAAGATTCCCCACAGTTATTGCGTTCCTGAACTACGAGGCAGCATCAAGCCGCTGCCTCGCTCAATCACATGGTCACCTGTGTGGCATCAAGTTGTTATTTGCATGCAGGTGACATGCAGAGACGGCGAGTGTGGGACCGTGGAGAAGACGCCACTTCCTCTCAGTTTACAGAGCTAATCAGCGTGAAAGTGTCGGAGGTAAATGAACAGAAACAACGCATAGCATGTGGGCGACTGCTTAGAATGTTAAATCTGGTCTTCCTCCAGAGCAGACAGGAATGATAGCTTCCAGGAAATCAGCCCATATGCTCACGCCCGTGGAGAATAACAAAACACACACAGCCTCCCTTTCTCCCTACTGCCGCTTATGTTGTACCTCTTCTATTCTCGCTGGTATTTGGACTCCCTAAAGTACATTCACTTACTGCAGGTAACCACCTCATCTGTGTGCAAACAAGCAGAAAGGGAACAACAGGATGGTCGGCTTGATAAAATGACGGCTGTGACAACCTTTGTAATTCACCGTTTCAATCCACTGAAACACATCTGAATGGAGAGTGATGGATTTTGCAGCCGTGTCGCACATTTTGATGCGAGTTGTGATGACTAGGATATGAAACTACATACTACACTCGGACTTAACCATTTGCTTAACATTGGTGTGACAGCTTCAATGTGACGGTTTTATGTAAATATGCACCAGCCACGAAAATACCATGAGACGAAACTTGAAAAAGGTTAGTCAGGTTAAAACATTTAGTTCACAGAGGATGCAAAGGAGCAATAAGTGCAGTGAACGATGATCGATTACGTAGCAGGTCCTGAGAAGCTGTCCGTCAGACCCCACGTGGCCCGTTGTCCCTCCCCACACCCTCAGAGCCGTCAACGCGTTGTTTGTTGTTGCATTGTGAGGTCGAGATTCCCACATAAAGAGGATGCAGCCTCTGCAGTTATTGTGATTTCTTTCTACAAGTTTTAATGACATTCTAGTGGTTTTTTGGCTTTGTGTTAATTTCACTCAGGTGTTATAAATGTGTTCGGTTCTTTTTTTACCGTAAAGCACTTTGTAAAAGTAACGCTGGCTTAGAAAGTAATAAAGTTACATTACATCATGTTGCACAATCGTTGCTTCTCTATGCATTCGCCCCCCCCCGTGCCACACTAACCAGGACTTGGGCTCTCCAAAGTGCAGGTAGTTGATGCTGTACAGGTCCATATCCTCCGTGTGCCAGGAGAAGGTGGTCTTCCACATGCCAAAGTACAGATACGGGGTGTTAACCCCCTGGATGGACACGCCACAGTCCTCCTCAATGACATCCAAGATGGAGTTCAGGTGGCCAATGTTCCACTCCTCCACGTCCTACGGATTAGAATCAACCGTCAGGATTTGCACTCCGGTCGACAATCCCATCAATAATTGAACTCCGCGTCCTGCCGGTTGGACGGCTGTCCAGACAACCAAAGCGGTGAGCATCTCAAATGAGACACTCTGAACATTGAGATTGAGTAAGTGGGGACAGAAATGAACACACACGTGGGGAAACAGACAGAGGACTCGTCTACCTCGTCGTAGAGGCTGCCACTGACATCAGCACCATATATAGGCGATACAAAAGTGAGGTTCTTCCAATATTTTCTCTCGAGGTCTTCATAATTCAGGTAGCGAGGTGTGCAGTACCTGTGGAGGACAGAAAAATGGGTTTACTTTGTCTTTACTTTAGTGGGAAGATTCCCGCTGAGATTCAGAACCTCTCGGAGTCCTGGCTGAGACAACAGAATTAAAACAGGACGTTTTACGTAAAGCAGTGTTTACTGTCAGGACATCTGCAGCAAGCATTTCAGTAGTCCTGATCGTACTTATGATTAGCATCTGCGTTTATAATATTAATGTAGTTCCATGTGATGTTGCATTGATGATTACCTCATAATACATATGAGCACAACATTCACCCTCCTGGCCTTTAAAATAATGTTTCACACAACTCCAGTGAAAAGCAAGTAAAGAAAACTGCTCTGCAAATTTACTCATTGATTCACAAGTACTTTTAAGTTACTTTTGCCATTTCATAGTTTTTCTATAATTTATCATTTTAAATATGTAAGGTTAGCAAACAAGGCTTTTTTATTTTGTTTTGAGAGTGTATATCAAGATTGATACTGTTGGTAATAAGTATCTCACTATCAGCCAGTTTGCCAAGTGACCTTCTAAAAGAATATATGTATCCTTTTGGTAATACACCAGTTGCATGTCCTGCGTACAAAGAGAAACCGGTTATATTCTTACTCATTACATTACAGGTAAAGTAGCTGTCGCTTTTATCCAAAGCGACATACTTTGCATTTTTAACCCGTGGCTTTTTATATTTTTGCCCAGGGAGCAATTAGGGGTTAGACGTCTTGCTCAGGGACACTTGGGCATGGGACCTCTCTACTCCATGCGCCAGTCACCTCCAGCAGCACCAGGATGTAAACTCTGTGTGAACGGTCACAATACTCACATGTCACTGTTGGCTAATCGCCTGAACTCCTGCACGCTGAGCGGCTTCTTCTGGATGTTGTACTGTGTGAAGAGCCCTGATTGGCCAGCCATCATCTGCTGGATGGGAGCATCAATCATTAGATCGTCTATGTCGTCGTAGGTACGCCGGGGCTTCCAGCCTTTAGGAGGAATCACCTGAGGGGCAAAAACAAGAGGTCACTCGGTACAATTAAGATTCCTCTGATCAGCATTACATTTGGAATCAGCAGTAGTTGACCCACTGTGTTCTAACCGCAACTACAATTAAGAATTACCTTAGCCAGGCCTGCGCGGTGTGCACCCTGAGACTCCATGTAGACCAGGTACTGGTTGAAGTCCTTGAATTCCTCCATGGTGGGCCTGAAGGTCATAATCTTGCAGGTGGGGTTCGCAGGGGTGTAAACCTCTGCCCCCGCCATCCTGCTCCCTCACCAGATATAACCTGGAAAAAAGAAGAAAAATCCATCACACGTGCACACACATCAATCAAACTATCCATTTCAGACTCGAGGTCCAGATCACATCAAGTAAAATATGCTCCAACATCAGTATATTTTCTATTATCGGCTTTTAAATAGTAATGCAGATAGATATTCCTTAAGGTTAGAGGTATTTACTTTGTCAGCTATGTGGGGTGAATCTTCTAGCCTGAACGAGGTGCCAGGGTCAAGTCAGCAGAATGGGCAAACTACAGAATCTGCTAAATATATATTCTTAAGTACAATATAGTCTATTCAGAATATAGACATAATTACTTTAATAATCCAGATAGTGATATATCTGAAACAATTATTTGATTCTGTAAATTGTTAATGTATTTATAATGTCTTCATATTATCAGCCAACAGGTTTTGTGGGTTACCATTTCATCCATTTTTTAATTTAGTTTGTTGGGTGCATTTTTTCCATATATAGTGTAAGACAAGAAGCGAGCTGGTTGAAAACATTAGTTCTGCACACTTTACTTATTGGCACTTGCTACAGTCGCGTATGAATTGATGCGTTGAATCATATTATCACAATTTCAAACCAGTAATAAAATTCCTTCAGAAGAAATTGTCGTTGTTTAAAGTTCCCATGTCAAATAGCTTATCAAATATACGGTTACAAAATGTGCAGCCCTAGATGTAATTTGCAGGCGTGTAACTGGGCCAGCAGGCAGCAGGTTGGTGTAATGGCGGAGATCTGACCACTAGGTGGAGGTAGAGATTCAATAAATGTCGATTTGGTCCTTTGATCCTTCCTGATGCCAACAGCCCTTTTCAGATTGTGTCCCATCCACCCGCAACTTCACTGTGCGTTCAGACAAAGGACCGCGATGTCCCGAGTGACGCTATCAGGGATTTTACAAACATCTTCATATCGCTGCTTCTCTGCAAAGCGACATTATAACGGCGTGCGACCCGGTTATGTAACAGACTATCGCAAGTTTTAGACAAATCGGCCAGCGTAACAATGTTTAGCCACTATTTGTTAAGTCTTTGTTTAAATAGTACACAAATAACTACAGACCAAGGGGTCTCCTTAATCTGGTGATTCAGCCCGTTAATGTATGAAGACAACAAAACCTTTTAAAACGAGACGAGTGAATCTGAGCAGAGCCGTAAATGCTGCATGGAGCTTTGTTGTCTACAGAGCTCAGCTAACTAGCCTCCGTTTTGTTATGATGCAAACAACCAGCCAAGCTTCTTCGCTTATTTATATTTAGTTGGCACCGTTAGGTTCACTGGGTTCCGTTTCACTTGGATTTGATAATAAATTCCAAGAACCTGACCCGAAAGCCCCCTGGAATAGTGACTTAATAGTTGTAGAAGGGAAACACAGCTAGTTCTTGAGTTAACATAGCTAGCTAACTTCTTAAACGCTCCAGTGGATGGCGTTTAAATGCCCCTGCCAGGCGGCTGCAGAGAGGCCCGTGCGGTGTCTGTATCTGTGCTACACACGAATACGTCTTATATTTATATCGTGTATGCATCATTTGTCGAGATCATACGTGCTTAGCAGCAGACAGAAGCACATCGGGCACACGGTGCGATATTCCCGTTGGCACGAGCGCGTGCCAACTTGTTCAACGTTAGTTGGTTGAGGCTAGCGGCTAGCTGGCGATAGCTTGGCTAATTCTGCACAGTAGCCACGGATTAAAATCTCGCTTTCTCGCCAACGGCCTCAAAAATAGCCACCAAGCCGCATCCTACGCCGGCATATCACGTGTCGTCTCCACAACGCATAGAGTATTTTACCTCGATCCAAAAAGACGGAGTTGTGTTTGTTATTTATCGCCTTCCTTGTTCGTCCAGCTGGTTCACATGACAGCAACTCTAGCTGCTGCTGCTGCTTCCAGCGAAGAGAGGGCGCGTTCCACACCGCCCGCACGACAGCTCGCCTGCGTTTGCGTGCGGATCAGCACGAACGCGTTGGACGGCAGCGCGTCGTGTGCACACGTCCCCCCGCTGCGCGAGCTGAGCGTCAGCAGAGGAGGCGAGCGCAGGAACTGGGACGCGGCCAATGCCCGTGGAAAGTGCACCTGCGCCTCCTGCTTCAGTCTGTTTTAATCTGCACCTCAGATGTTTTAGGGGTTTTCTTTGGCGCTTTTATAAGTTGTGTGCTATGTTTCTGAAGTAATTGATTAATGATAAGATATAAACATGTGTATATACAGCATATTATTTGATTTTGCTTAAATGTTACCACCATGGTACTGTGTCGTACCAATTGTTATATGGCACATTGTCTGCCAACTAATTAGTTCATTAATAAGATACTACTAGTACTAATAAAAATGTTATATACTAGTCTTCTTACCTTTATTTGCAATTTGTCCAATTGTAGGACTAGGATTACGATTTTGTTACTCCAATGATTTAGAATACTTGTTTATGTAAAGGCTTGCCCCGGCTCGCAGTTATTTTTTTAACAGATGAACTAAAGTTGTAAATAAAGATCACCACAAAGACGCCCAGGTGTGTTTGACCTATTGGGAAATGGCTTTAACAATTCAAGTAGCTAAGTTACATCTCGTTGTTCTGTGCGTTTATTAGCTGTGCCAGAAAGCGATATAAAACGGCACCATAGTGCGCTGTGACGTAACATCGATGTGGAGCATGGTGTAGTATTGTCAAGGACGTACAGTACAGCGCTTGTAAACATGTGTAAAGTGGCACTGCTTTGTGTGCACATCAAAGTTAACAGCGAGCGATAAAGGAGTGGCGCTGCTGGGCGCAGTAACGCCCTGCGAACTGTGGGGGGCGCTGACGTCAGTCTGCAAACATGGCTGCCCAGGATGAACTCAGTAAGTTTCTTTCTGCGGTATTGGTGATTACTATCTGTTAAAATGCCGTATCCGCGGATGCCAAAAACCAAATGAATTAAAAGTCCTCCTTTGTTCTAACGGTTGCGGTGTTTTTTCCCCCCAGTAAGAATAACGCTTATATTATTTTACAACTGGTGCAGGGACGGCAGCTAGCTACTCCGCTACACCGCTAGCTGGAATGCTAACGTCTGGAGGCCGTTTGCCCAGTCATGGTCAAAACTAAACCATCACGTATGCTATTAATAAGTCTTCGTTAAGCGAACTTTGAAGTGGTAGTTTCACAGCGTGAACCTTTTGAGCGGGTGGCGCTAAATGCGAAGGTTGTCAGTGATTGTGAGGCGACAGTCGAATGGCGTCAAAAATGATATGAAATGCGTTGATGGTGTGTCAGTTAACGTAGCTAGCAGCATGCTAATAGGGAGAAGCTCTGTGTGATGGTTGAGCTACTCCTCAGCTGGCATGACCGGTTTTTAACTCCCGTGTTTTTAATTGTCACATTTACAATCTTTAACGTGTTTCCATAGACCCCCCAGTGAGTTCCACTTTCATATTTGAATCGGAAATTGCTGTCAAATTGGTCAACGGGTCGCACGTTAAATTGATGACGAATACTGGTGAGGAAATGAGACGCAGCCGGTGTTCCGTGTGTTCCGTGTGTTCATTTGTGGTTTGTGTGGTTTGACAGATCAGCTGGAGCGTGTGTTCCTTCGGTTGGGCCATGCAGAGACCGATGAGCAGCTGCAGGACATCATCTCCAAGTTCCTTCCTCCTGTGCTCCTCAAACTCTCCAGCGTCCAGGAGGGCGTGCGGAAGAAAGTAAGCAGGGTGTCGTTCATATCTGTGCCTACAGAGTATTCGACTCAAGCTACACCCCAGATACTGTCTTTTCTCACCACCCAAACTTAAGTCAAAGCTATTAAACATCCATCCATGGATGTCATCCATCCATTGTTTGCAAACATGCTTGTAATGACCTTTTGATCCTTCCATTTTGCCAGTGAGGTTTTGATCAGACAAGCGAATATGCTTTTGGTTCTCTGCTAGGTGATGGAGTTGTTGGTCCACCTGAACAAGCGGATAAAAAGCAGACCGAAGATTCAGCTGCCAGTAGAAACCCTGCTCGTACAGTACCAGGATCCCGCAGCTGCCTCCTTTGTGACGGTGAGAAGAAGTTTTAACGTACAGAGTTGGGCTTTTTCAAATCGTGTAGGTATGTGTATTTTCGATTGATGTCGTAGTGCAAAAAAGCAGTTGCAAGTGGATTTGGTTATGTGTAAGTTGACTGATGACTAGTTATAGTAACAAATAACGTATCTGCAAGTCTGGGTTTTCACACACAGTTTTAACAAATGCTAAATTAAGTTTCCTCTGATCTGGATTTTTTTTCCCCCTATGTCTTAATATTTAACAATGGATCGGAAACCAATTGGATTTGCATTGTGTCTAAGTAGTGATGTGTGGTTTTAAACCCGACTGGTGATTGTTTAATCCATGCAACCTGTAGAATTTCACCATCATCTACATCAAAATGGGCTACCCTCGTCTGGAGGTGGGAAAACAGTGCGAGCTGGCCCCCACCCTTCTCACGGCCATGGAGGGCAAGCCACAGCCCCAACAGGACAGGTGAGAGGTCACATGCTCTCACACCGCGTAGGGATGCACAAGTATATTCACTTTTATCACATACCTGTGTTAAAGCAAGCATTTGTTTTTTTTAGATCCACTCAAGTTTTATCTCGATTCACACATGAATAACATTTATTACGGATATCTTTTGACCTCACTTTCTCCTCTCAGCCTGATGCACCTGCTGATTCCCACTCTTTACCATATGAAGTATCCTGCAGACAACTCCAAGCTCACGTCTCCATTTAACTTATCCGAGAGGCCAAAGACTGTGCACCTGCTGCTGGAGTTCATGTTGGATGTTCTGCTGATGCCTTATGGGTGAGTTCACGCCTTGTGCTCTGGGTAAAAACATGTCCATCTGTAGAGGGAGGGGTCCTACTCGAAGTGTTTGAACACGAGCGTTGACCTGTTGCCCCTCTGCCTCCTCTAGCTTTGTGCTGAATGAATCCCCGACTCGCCCGGCTCCCTCCTCCGCCCAGGGAAGTCATTCAGATGGGACGGTGGCCGCCGGTGGCCAGGGCCTCCCCCAGCCCCCCCCAGGGATGAGTGTCTACGCTGCCAAGAGGGTGATCGGAGAGGCGCAGTGGAGCGCTGAGCAGTTAGAGCAGGTACGGTCACCCGGCCGGAGGACGAGTAGTGGCTATAGTTTTTTTTTTTCTTGGCAGGTAATACGTTTCTGTGACAAAGATAAAATCTATCCGGAATCTTGGAGCCTCCAACTCAAAAGGAGATCCCTAACATTTAACTTGGTTTCTAAAAACAGCTCAGAACTATTGGATAATAGACATTCTAAACCTTTTTATGCCGGAGCTCCTGTATTTTGAGGCCTGTATAACAATTCTAATTCCCTCATCCTGTGTTTGGTTTCAACAGTGTAAACTGGGCATTGTAAAGTTCATGGAGGCGAAGCAAATCCCGGAGGTGGAGACGGTGGTGCACCTGGTGGTGGCATCGAGCGACACCCGACACGGTGTGGCCACGGCGGCCGATCTGGAGCTGAAGAGCAAACAGAGGTTGGTAAAGGAGCTTGAATCCTCTGGTTTAGCAAGTCATCACTCAGTAATCTTACTTTTAATTTAGGGAGCGGTGCAATGAGATATCAAATGAATCCGTATACTTCTTGTCAAATTCAAAAGATAAAAAACCATTGATTGATTATTTGACAACATCAAAATGTTCACAGCACGTTTAAGAGATTGACAGGTTGGTATCTAAAGCCTTATGAAAGAAATGCTGAAAGTAGAAACCTTTATTCTCAATGTTGGTTGCGTCTTTCAATTATCTTCCAGCATCATCGATTGGAACAATCCTCTCATCATCAACAAGATGTACAAGGTGTACCTGGGGGACGTTCCTCTTAAATCAAAGGTTTGTAAACTTGAAGGTGAATGATTTAACTTGAGTGCGGTTTTAATCTAGTTAAATCTGAATAATTTCATACAATTCTTTCTGTATGTGCACCAGGGCGGCAACGTGAAGCAAGAGCTGAAACACGAGCCTGTGAGCACGAGAGTCAAGCTGAAGATCCTGCCTCATCTCCTGCGCTCCCGCTTAGCTGCAGAGTGTTTCCCTGCTAACATCCAGGTAGGCCATCTGCTTCTTTACGCTGCGTTCGTGTATCCTCACTCTCTTTGGGCCAAGTCCGTTTGTCAAGTTGCTGGTGTCATTCCTCTCCTCTTTCTCCCTCTGTAGGTTGTGTACGATGGTTTGTTCGGAGCAAACACCAACAACAAACTTCTGTCCCTCACCTTGCAGTTTGTCCATCACATCTGCATGATGTAAAGTGTAGTTTTTTTTCTAGATTCATCCATGTTTCATATATTTTAACACCCAATGTTCCCTGCATTTGAAAAATAATGCTGATGTTTTTCAGATGTCCTGACACTAATAAACCGTTGGGACTTATGCTGCTGAATGGTCTAACCAAGCTCATCAACGAATACAAGGAGGTAAAACTGTGACAACGCACGTTTCTACTGCCCTGTCTGTTTACCAATTCATTTAATAAATATATATGTGTATATGTATACCTACTAAACGTTTGTTCTTGCAGGATCCTAAATTACTATGTGTTGCCTACTCTGCTGTTGGAAAGCTGTCGAGGTAAAATAAAATAACTACATTTTTGTCCCTTTTAAACATTGTTTTTAGTATTGAAACCTATTCAATATGTCATATCCTCTCCTCTAGCCGCATGCCGCAGCTGTTCACTAAGGATATTGCCCTCGTGCAGCAGTTTTTTGAGTCCATGTGCAAAGTAAGTGGAAGATCTCTGAAATATTTGACAGTAAAATATAGTTAACTTTTTTTTCCAGCCTCCATTTTAAGAAGATACCGAGAGGGTGTCTGATTCCAAAATATCTGTCTTCTTTAGGAGGAGTCTGACGTCCGCCTTGCCATTCAGGAAGCTTTGTCTATGATGGTTGGAGCTTATGCCAACCTGCAGGGGGCGCTGCTCAACCTGATGGAGGCCCTGGTGGCTGCATATATAACAAAGGTGAGTCTGCACCAAGGTTATTATAGGTTTGAATTTTTCAATAGTTTTTTTTTTTT